AGCTTGGTCTCGAGCACAAAGCAGGGCACGTGAGAACATCGCGAAAGAAGCGCAGAAACGAAGAGAGCGGCAATCAAGCGGTGTGCGGCAATTCTTTTACAAGGTTGGGGATTGGGTTTGGCTGTTCAAACCAGTTAGATACCCGGGCCGCTCACCGAAGCTTCAAAGACCGTGGCATGGGCCGTACCAAGTGGTAGCCGTGCTGCAGGATGGCTTGACTTACAGAATCAAGCATGTAGACAAGCACAGGTACCGGCAGGTGGTTCACCATGACAGGCTGAAACCCTGCCACAGTCGAGATGATGAAAGACATGCTGACAGGCCTGAAGTCGATGTTAACCATCATGACCGGAGGGATAGAGATGATGTGTATCAGAGGGACCGGCAGGATCAGACGCCGAATGAAGGAGAATTTCAACAACCCGACAGCGAAGACGAGTCAGAAGCTGTTTCTGCGGAAGATTCACATGGCAGGGCCGAAGAGGAGGTTTCACGTCGGGAAGATGGAAACAGCGGTGCCGACTTCGAATCAGGACAGGCAGCGAGCTCGGAGGTGACCCCTGGCCCGTTGGATAATCCTCCATTGTTGGATAGCGAGCCGGTGGGGTGCGCAACGCGCACAGAGCAACAGTTGGGACTCAGGCGGCGAAGTACAAGGACAAGGAGGGCCCCCGATAGGCTGGATTTGTGAGGGGAGGAATGTGACGTGCTGGATCAGGGCATGTACATATTTGGTTTATTGGGTTTGGTGTCCTCGTCTGCTCGCGACGGCATGTTGCGTCCTCGTCTGCTCGCGACGGCATGTTGTGTTGTTGTGTGTGTGTTGCATGTTGTGCATGGTTGTGTTCCGTGGTGGCTGCCGCATGACCTGCTATGCAGCGTGCAATGTGCATGGAGTTGCTTGGAGTTGCTAACGGTTTTGCTTGTTGTGTGCGTGTGTTCGCAGGCCTACTTCCTGAAGAATTAATAAACTGAAAAGGCGTCTGCTGGTGTATCGGACCCGTCACAATATTACGGAAAATGGACGAGTTTCTACTACTTTTTAACTACGGGGTGCTACTGTATGCAGCTAACACTGTGCACTGCTTACTGTATAGTGTATATCCCTCGCCGGACCTATTGGTTTTCTACATACGCGCCGACCGAGGGGGGGGGGCAATAACGACCCCCTCGGCGTTTCGCCCCTGGTGGAGCTAGCGCGTCGCGGAAAAAACGAGCGTGTGTGCCGTTACAAGATTCAGAGATTGATACCCGATTTTAAGGTCCTAGATCAACCGGTGACCTCTGAGATCAGGTCAAGTGCCCCAAGGTAGGGTTCCGTTTTTGATGAATAGCTTCGCAAAAAACGGCCACAGAGCCGCGATTTTGGCAGCATCGTGTCGCCGTCGCTCCGGCGCGTCGAATCATATACTTTTTGTTTGAGTGAAGTCAGCCTAGGGTGTTGCCTCGGGTCACGGTCAGGTCAGCGACCCCAGGTCACCAACTTATCGAAGGAGGTCATGTCGCATATCATTCGATTCAGCAGGTCTTCCTGAGTCTATTGGTGGCTTTCCCGACTCGCTAGCTCAATTTGATCGGGAGTTATTGAAGACAAATTATGACCTTAATGACTTCATAAGTGACGTCAGCAAGGTCAACATTGCAAAAGTAACGCATGAAACCTTACAATAAGTGCATGAAATTATGCTTGAGATAGAAGGAGATCGTTCCCGGCGCCAGAATAGCAGTTTTAGTTTTCATTTTTCCCCATTCACTTTAAATAGTGAGGTCACGAAAATAACCTGACCTCATATGATCTTTAGGAAAAATCCGAGATATACGAGTACAAGTTGTGAGACTCATAATGGATACTAGATCCTGCAAGTTTCATTTCCCTGTGACATCTCATGGCAGTGAGGGCGTTGCGAAGTTGCGACATCTAAAGACCGTGCAGACTGCAGAGGTTCACTTATGACGTCATCAGTCAGTGACCTGACCTGACCCGAAAGTGCGATTGGTGTCAAAAGATCCGGCTTGAATCAAAGGTCAGGTATGCCAAGTTTCAGCTCTCTATCGCCGGCGTGTTTGGAGCTATCGCGAAAAAAAAAACTTAGGCCCCGCCGGCCCCTCAGCCGGCGAGGGTTGATTAAGACACAATTTCCAGGTAATTACCATGCACAATTTGAAATCCATTATTTTTGGTAAGAAATTGTGCTTTTAGAACGGGACAAGTGTTAGTGTTACATAATCTTTTTGGGGATAGAGGATGGAGCCGACTGCAGAGTCGGGTCGCTTTTCCTGGCCCGGAGTCTGAACGCTTTACTCTTAGCTACAGAAAGAGCCTCTGAGCACATGAAGGGGCCCCCTGAACACTTGACGGGGTCCCCTGAGCTACAGAAGGGCCGTGTGAATACACAAGGCCCTCTGAGCGCATGAATAGGCCCCTGAGAGCCCTCTCTTTATGAGGGCCCTCTGAGCGCATACAGAACGCTCCACGGGCCCCTCTGAGCTACAGAATGGCCCTGAGTAAACGACAGAGTCCCCTAAGTGCATGAAGGGGCCCTCTAAGCCAGAAAAGGCCATATGAGTACGCGACAGAGCCCTCTAAGCAAATGAAGAGGCTCCTGGTTGCGCGTGACGGGGCCATCATATCTTAAAGAAGACTCTCTGAGCATGTAAAAGGCCCCTGAATGCCTGGCAGGGCCCTCTGAGCGACAGAAAAGCTCTGAGCACACGAGAGAGCCCTCTAAACGCATGAAGGGGCCCCTACTTCCTTGATGGGCGCACTCTGAGCACATAATTAGGGTCCCTGATTGCTTGACGGGGGCCCTTTAAGCTACATAAAGGCTCTCTGAGTACACGACAGGGCCCTCTGAGCGCATGAAGGGCCCCTGATCGCGTGATGGGGCCCTCTGAGCTACATAAAAGCTATCTGATCATATAAAGGACCCTTGAAAGTTTGGTAGGGCTCTCTAAGTGACAGAAGGGCACTCTAAATGCATAAAGGGCCCCTGAACGTTTGAGGGGGCCGTCCCTATGAGCTACAGAAAACCCTCCACGTACACGACGGGGCCCTCTGTCCGCATGCAGGGGTCCCTGAATGTTTGACGGGGCCCTCTAAGCCATAGAAAGGCCATATGAGTACACGACAGGGCCCTCTAAGCGCATGAGGAGGCCCCTAATCGCACGTAACGGGCCCTCTGAGCTACAAGAAAGCTCTCTGAGCATATAAAGGGTCCCTGAGCGCCTGACGGGGCTCTCTGAGCGACAAAACGGCCCCCCAGCGCTTAGAGGGCCCCTGAACGCCTGACGAGGGTCCTATGAGCTACAGAAAAGCCCTGAGTACAAGAGAGGGCCCTTTTAACGCATGAAGGGGCCCCTAATTCCTTGGTGAGGGCCCTCCGAGCACATGATAAAGGCCCTGCTTGCTTGACGGGGTCCTCTAAGGTACATAAAGGCCCTTTGAGTACAGGACCCTCTAAGCACATGAAGAGGCCCCTAATCGCGCGTGACGGTGCCCTCTGAGCTACATGAAAACTCTCTGAGCATTTAAAGGGCCCCCTGAACGTCTGGCAGGCCTCTCTGAGCGACAGAAGGGCCCCAGCGCTTAAAGGGCCTCTGTACGCTTGACGAGGGCCCTATGAGTTACAGAAAAGCCCTGCGTACACGAGACGGCCCTCTAAACTCATGAAGGGGTCCCTGATTCCTTGACGGGGCCCTCTGAGCACATTATAAGGGTCCCTAATCGCTTGACAGGGGCCCCTCTAAGCTACATAAAAGCCCTCTGAATACACGACAGGATAGGCCTTAAAAGCGCCCCACCGATCAGTAGGGGCCTGTAACAGCCGCCTGTTAATTTTTTCAGCATTGGCCCTCTGTCGGCAATAGTTATTTGATCACTGCTAGAACCTATTTAACGGTTTTAGAGGGCCATTGCACGACTACCAAAAAGTCTTGAAAAAGTTCAGATTGGGCTCCTGACTGTGGGGTACTGGGTATATGCAGTACCCCACAGTCAAATGACTGTGGGGTACTAGTACCCCACGTACCCCACGGTGGCGCCGCCCATGGATATAACATGAAAATATTGATATTGAAGGCAGCAAGCTGCAGAAGCTGGCTAAACAAAACCACACCAAGCAAGAATTTTGAGTGATATTGCAAAGCTAGTGAACATCCCCTTGAATAACATAAAACAACTTTTTAACATATGACACATAAGCTTATGAGAAAACATTGAATTGTTCTCAGCATCCCCTTGAGCCTTGGCCTACCTATCTAAAAGAAGATCTCATCAAGAATCATCTAAAACTTGTTACTTGTCAGTTGTCACCCTGTGTGAACAATGTCTACAAGAGGAAGGCGAGGGTGGGTCTTCTAAGAATATGACACCACTATACAGAACACAATATCAATAACCATTTTTGAATAATGGTATTTATAATAAACATATACCTACCTTTAACTGAATTGATCACTGAACCAATTAACAAAGCCAGTCAAACCAGTCAATTTGCCGGTCCCGTAGCTCAGTTGGTTAGAGCGTTGGACTCCGCGTGGTGAGAGCACGCGTTCCCGGTTATGACAGTCCGGGTTCGAAGCGCGACGGGCGCTCGACATTTATGGGCCTCCTGACAGGTATGGTTGCGGTTGGTGGCAGGCCGTAGCCAGGCGAAGTCAGCGAGGGGACCGGCCGTGCGCGGCTTTGTGCGCACGTTAAACTTTGGACTCCAAATTATGCCATAGAATCGGAATTGCGCGATCGGAGGGTAGAGGGCAGGGTCATCGCAACAAGCTTTGCTTAGCGGTGGGTCTGTCCTTGTGAATCCTTCCCATCAAAAGGTTCGGACTAAATTTATGAAAAAAAAACAGAGCCTTTGTAAGTAAGAAATCCCGATATCTGGTAGGAAATAGCCAGATGGCAATCAAATGGTTTAAATATGGCATGAGGCAATAGGCATATGCCTTGCGTGTAATATTACATGCACACAAATCAAAAACACAAATGTAATATCACGCACACAAATGAAATATCAACACCGAACTTGGCCTCCTGAGTCCTGACCTAAACTTTTATTCCACTCTTCAGCTTGTAATAAACAAACCAATTTCCAGGGTATAAATGGTCTTCCTATCTACCTGACAAAATCAAAATTTAGGTCCTAAGGCACAAACTCAAATTGAAATTGAAATCAACAAAAACTTCAAGAATCTACAAACGCGTAACATATGAGACATTAGCCAGTAGAAGGCATCTCCAAAACACCTAAATCAAATACATGAAATTCATTCAAATAACTCTTATGATTGTTAGCGCACATGCTACTGTGCAATACATCGAAATTCTCGAATAATGCACACATCTATCGCATTTCAATTTATCCACTTTGTTGTAATCCACGAACTGTTATCGGCGGTCCGGCGGGACCACGCCAGAATTGTCAGTAGAGCGCCAGAAATGAGGAATCACGATTAGAGCTGGGCAAGTCCTTGCAAAACATGGCCCCGCCCCCTGGAACACCAGTGATCGCCTTAGTGATCGCTATCACCAGTTGCTCCCCATTTTACCTATCCTTTCGGAGGAGGGGTGACGGGAGATGGTCCAAACGTAAATTCCGCATATTGCAGAAAATATCGCTTGGGATTTGACCTCTCTATTTGCTGGGTTATTTACCACCGGGCAGCCAGCGGCGGAACCAGTCGCCAAAACTGTACGAACCACAAGGTATATTGACCATGAATCTTTTCCAATAATTCGTTTACACTACGATTGCATTGATAATGGTCTGTTTCACACTCTCGGCCGGCCGCCTGTCCGAGGTGGAGTGGACAGGGGGCTGACGACGGTGGACGGGCCGCCGCGGCCGGTCGGGTCGACCACACCCGGCCGGCCGCGCGCAGAGTGGGCGTAGTTCACACATCCTCCCAGACTCCCTGCGCCGCGGCTGTTCCACAGACGCTCCACACATCCACCGCATCGATCATCCGATCACTTCACTGGTGTCACAAGGCAACGGCGCACGTTGGCGAGCGGTATTACTCAACTGTCCCCAAAACTGGCGCCTAATAAACTCACGGATAACAACGGACCTGCGTGGCCCGGCGCTGTCACACATGCGGAGCGGCTTCCCATGCATACGCTCTCGGGAGTGATCACATGTCGGCATTACACGAGCCCGACCGGTCGCCTACTTGGCCGGGTAGAACTTGGCGCCGCTGGCCGCCTGGTCGCGCAGCAGCTGGCACGGCTCGAAGCCGACGCCGTAAACGGCGGCGAAGCGCTCCATGGCCTTAACCAGCTGACCGGCGCCGATGCGGTCCACGAAGCGGAACGGTCCGCCGGTGAATGGCGGGAATCCGAGACCGAACACGGCACCGATGTCACCCTCCACCTGCGGAACGGATTGGGCGGGCGGTCAGTGATAGTAGTGTGCAGATCGCGGATTGTTCGGGGACCACGGGAGCATCGCCAAAGAGGACAGCTGATAGAAACGACGGTACGTTCTTCTGAAAATTGAGCTAGAAAATGCCACACAAAAGAATGGCGCACAGTGATATTTCCTCCCTTCTTACAGAAAATTGCACACTGCTCGTCAGCGACCTTCCAGCTTCCTTCTAGCCCACAGACTCTCCCTTTACCGTACGTACCGGGCTGGCGAGGATGCCCTCCTGCAGACACAGCACCGCCTCGTTGACGAAGCGCGCCACAAGTCGCAGCTGAATATCGGCGTCCGAACTGAGGCCGCGTGGCGCCAGCGAGTACTTTTTCAGGATCTCCAGCGCGCCCTCGTTGATCGGCCGCTCCTTGGTGTCTTTGGGGTAGAGGTACATGCCCTTGCCGGACTTGCGGCCCATGAAGCCGGCCTCCACCATCTCCTTGATGACCTCGACGTTGCCGCCGCTGAAGCGTTCGCCGAACACAGCCCCCAGGTCGGCAGACACGTGCATCGCCACGTCCAGACCTGCCCGCAGACGAACGGCACGTTAGCGGACACGTGTCGACGAGACCGGTAATGGTGATTTGACATGTTTTAGGCAATTTTGGTTGAGGTAATTGAGGTCATCCAGACATCGGAAATTTTGAGTAGCATAGTGGATGTTACGTCCGTTCTCGCAACCTCGCCGCAATTTAATGCCTGCGATCTAGTAACATCGCTGGGCGGTTTTCCGTAAGTAATCTAGCAACCGACATTGCAGACAACTTAGTGACCGGAATGAGCCCCATCTTTGGAGCAGATAACACATGATAGCCAATGATACGTTACACATCACCAAACAAACCGTCCCTGATTAAGGCAGACAACAATCAAAATCATTTTCCCAAAACCCATATAACGAGCCCCAATCCAATGTCAGTCGTCCTCCCGTCGTTCTTGACGCATAAGACGTACCGACTTCATCGGCGAGCGTAGCCATGCCGACGGGCCAGCCGTAGTTTTTGGTGAGCCGGTCCAGGTCCTTGGGCGAGGCGCCCTCCTGCAGCACGCGGATGTTCTCGGCCAGCATGGGCGCCAGGATGCGAGTGGTGTAGAAGCCGGGTCCGTCCTTGACCGTGATCACCACCTTCCCCTGGCGCAGGCCCACCTGCGAGAGGCGGCGGGAGATGGGGTTAGAAACGGACAGAGACGGCCAACGTGCGCGGTCGGGAATGAGACACGCACCGTAAAACAGTTCAGGGTTCGTGTATAACATGCAAAAAGGGTGACAACGTAGAAAAAACCTTTACTGCCGCAAACGAAACCCATGCAACCCGATGACTAGCCCTATCAGTAGCTACACGATAAAATTGAAGCTATGGCACACCATGAACTACCATTTTATGTCCGCTGTCTACCGTCTCTCAATATACCCCACCCAGTAACACCTGTGACCCTAGCCGTCCACCGCGTCCCAACTCACGTCGACAGCGGAGGCGGCGGTGTCCTTGGAGGTTTTGTCGGTAGTGATGATCTCCAGTAGCTGCATTTTGTCCACCGGCGAGAAGTAGTGCATGCCGATTACCTGCAAAACACAGACGTAGGCACGGTCAGAAACGACAGGGACAGCGGTAGTCGTGACGCATAAATACAGCTAAGGAAAGTTGCGAACACAAAAGCATAAGAGCATCCAACGATTAGCAGAATAAACCGAACAATCCAATTGATATCTCCTGATACCAATCATTCACCACAGAGAAGTGGCGTCCCTTACACATCAAAGTGAATTATGACCAATGATAGCCCAACACCCGTACCCACACAGACCGCACCATCCACTCATGCTTCCGCCCATATAGCTACCTTCTCGGGCCGTTTGCTGACAGCGGCGATCTTGGTGATGGGCAGCGCGGACGTGTTGGAGGCGAAGATGCAGTGCTCGGGGATCACCTCCTCCGTGGCCTGCAGCACCTTGTGCTTGATGGCCAGGTCCTCGAACACCGCCTCGATCACCATGTCGGCCTTGTCGAAGCCCTCGTAGGTGATGGTCGGGATCAGGTTCGACATGTACTGCTCGCCCTGGAAACTGGCGGCGGGAGGAAGGAGTGGAACTGTGAGCGCTCGGCCGTCGGCGCAGTCGGCGATGCACTATGTGGATGAGAGAGTAATCTCGGATGTGAGGGTAGTGCGAGATACATGGTGTCCAGAAAAAAGATACTACGGAAATTAAGTCGCATTCATTAACGCACGTGCCGATTTTGTTCCAAATTCATGTGCTTATAGTGCAAGATTTGGCAAAACTCATGAGCACTGTAATGCGTCGTTGGAAAGTTGTCTGCCTGCCCTCCGAGATGGTCAACATGACCATCAGTCACCTGCAGACTGTGCTAGTGCTGGAGCTGATCCGCCGTAAGGCCGCTCACATTGAATATCTGCTTTGAGGAGCTGCCGCAACTAACCAAAGAGTTTACATGCCATGTGGCACCTGCTGTCTGTTTTGCCATATTTTGGCGAATACAAGCATGTGCCATTTTAAAATGTAAGGTGTTTATTTTCGGAATTACAGCAAAAAATAATAGTATCCGTTTTTTCTGGACACCCTGTATGATGTATGCCGCCAGGAAGCACTTATTTCAAGGAACGTCCAATATAAATATTAAATGACAGGGCTTAGTCAGACATTCTAAAGGCATCAGAGATACCTAAGTTCGATCCCATTAGAAGCACAATACCGCCCTGAAGGCCGCCATTTCGGCCTAGTCTCTGTGACAGACTCCGCTCACCGCACCCGTCCGGCTGAACGACATCCCCCCACTGACCTGGTGATGGCGCGGCGCTTGACCTTCTTCTTGATGCCGGCCTCCACCTGGTTGATGCCGCGCGCCAGGCCCTTGGTGTTCATGTCCTTGAGGATGCACTGCATGCCCTTGTCGACTGACACCTGGGCGATACCGGCGCCCATCAGACCGGCACCGAGCACCGCTAGCTTCCTGCCGAAAACACAGAACAAGCGCGGCAATAAGACACAAGTAACTATTACAGAGACGCCGGCGTCAAACACACAACCAGCCCAATCCCGCTCACTCGAAAACAAGAAGCCGAATGATCAACAAACAATTATATGCATCGTTGTTACCTACTGCAGTTCACTGTAACTGTTCTAGATAATATGACGTTCGCATTATTAATGACGCTGAAAACAATGGCCGATAACCTAGCCATTGATAACACCTTTACGTCAGTGCCCATTTGCCGTCTGTACCTTCCCCACCGGCACCGACCCATCTCGTTACCCACCATCCCCGCCACCACCACCGCAGAAACTCACTGCGCTTTGTGCTGCGGCTTGCCGAAGCGGTTCTTCTTGCACTCGGTCTGACCGTGGAAGAGTCCGATCAGACCGCGGCACTCGGGCGTCACGGCCAGCTCACCGAAGCCGCGACACTCGGCCTCGAGTCCCTTCTTGAAGCCGCCGTCCACACCGGCGCGGATCACGTCCAGAATCTGACGACAGAGACAGGCAGGCGTGAGCGGGGCACAGGGGACTAACGTATTCGGTGGTGCTGACCAGTGCTGAGGGCAGGCAACACTGGCAGCAGCTGCAGTGCTGAGCCATGGGAGCCCGATGGGTAGGGAGTGGTGGAACATCAATCTGCCCCTGAGTGTACCATGGTACCCTCACCTGCCAAAACGCTCAGATTCATGCACATGTCACACTTAAAACGAATGAACGTTAAAGTGATGGCTATCTTTTAAAATTCATTCATAGCAAGTAAAAATATGTACGAAAGTAACCCTGGCGGTATTCTCACCTTGAGCGGCGCCGGGTAGAGGCCATTGGTCTGCTTCATCACCTGAGCCCGCGCCTTGTTGAACACAAAGTTCTTCGGGTAGTCGTATTTCAGCGCGAAGTTCATCACCTTGTCCATCATGCCCTTCTCCCGCTTCGGCTGCGAAGGAGTAGCAGATACGGGTGAAAATGAAGCGGTGAATAGCGTGAGATCGAGATCCTAGGACGAGTTACTTTACGGCCTAGCGGGGACCACAACGTAAGTGCAGCCAAAACTCAATATTGACAAAAAATTTAAGATCAATGGAAGCGACAGCCTTTGCCCAAATAAATATGTATCGCTTCTTATGCCTGCATTGTCATGTTGACAGCGAATGTTGAAAAGTACGCGGAACACGGCAAAATATACTGTTTCATGAACTATTGCCATCGACATACGGCTAATTCATTACAAAATACAACCGGAGTGCAGTATCAATCGCAATCATGCAGTAGTAGGCGGAAGCTGATAGCCAGCACTTGGTCGCTGTCGATAACGCCTCGCCGCAGATAACTAAAACGAACCCGGCCGACGGACGGTCCATGGTTGACCAAAACACCAACACTCACCTTCAGTTTGCCGGAAGCGAGCTGCGAGGCCGTCTTCACAGCCACTTCTTCCAGGTACTCGAGAGTCCTGAGCCGCGAGCGAGAGAATGCGCGTCAGGTGAAGTGTGGATCATTTATCATGACTGCGCGAGTCGGTTACCTACCTTCGCAATATCCAGAAAATGAAACACGTGACATTGACAGCAGCAAATTATATGGTGTAAAACACGTTTAAAACAATCCCTTACCCGTATCACCATTCATAGTCACCCGGCCTTCCGCAACACCAGTGCCATAATTTCCACCCATGCCACCACCGTGGCCGGCGCCCTCACCTGGTGTCGGGGTCCTTGAGGCCCGGTCCGAGCGGGTTCACCAGCGCGTCCACCAGACCCAGCTTCTTGGCCTTGTCGGCCTTGACCATTTTGCCGGTGAGCGCCATGTCGAGCGCGTTGGGCACGGAGGTGAGCCGCGGCAGCCGCTGTGTGCCGCCGCCGCCCGGCAGCAGGCCCAGCAGCACCTCCGGAACGCCCAGCGACGCCTTGCCCTTGACGGCCACACGATAGTGGGTGGCCATCGCTACCTGCACAGCGGCACCGGGGAGCAGAGCGTCACAGACGGAGCGGGACAACCGGCAGGCGATTCACACAGCGGCACCGGGGAGAAGAGCGTCACAGACGGAGCGGGACAACCGGCAGGCGATTCACGAATAACCATTCATGCATGGTTATACCAATACTGAATCCTTCCCCTTTCCGATATTCCCCCACCATGGCCCCATCTGGTATTGAACCCACCTCCAGTCCTCCGCCGAGCGCGGTGCCCATGATGGCCGAAACGAACGGCTTCTTGCTGGCCTCCATCTCGTCCAGCAGGTCCTGGCAGGCCTTGGAGAGCGCCTGCCCCTCCTCCACGCTCTGCACACGCTCAAGCATGCTGATGTCGGCGCCGGCGATGAAGTTGCCCGGCTTGCTGGAGATGAGCACGGCGGCGTTGACGGAGGGGTCAGCCTGCACGGCCTTCATGGCCTCCGCCATCTCCTCCATCACCGGCTGGTTCAGCACGTTCACCTGCAGAGCAGATCAGTCAGCTGCTGGCCACAGCAGTTACGGTAGGGTAGGTGCTGACTGCTGTTGGGCGCTAGGACGTTATGCAATGTTCCTGAAATCAACCGGCGGCTGTGCCGCTGTGGTCAATTTAGGATGAATATTTGTTCACACGAATCTCCGCACGGCAGTATTCAACCAAAATGAGAAAATAAACAAAACTTCCAAGACTAAGACTAGTGTTTCTTGACATCTAATCTGGCATATCCTAGACCAAGTCGCAGCATTTTTTGTGAAAAAATCGACACACATTGATCCGGAATCCGAATACGGTTACAGTGCAGACGAGGTGTACCATGACAGCTAGTGGGGGTGGGTGGAGGGGGGATGGCTGGAGACACTCGCCCACACGCCACTCTGGGGCCCAGGCCGAGTCAGCTCGGCCCGTCTTCCGGCCATGAGATCGGCCAACTTCATTGTGTGTGTGGGCTAAGTCGACGGCGTGCGTGGGCTAACTCAACCGGCGTGCCCCAAATAACTCGATCGGCATGTCCGATAACTCGCCCGGATTTTAAGGGGTAACTCGTACTCGACCGGCGTGGCCAGCCAACTCAACTGAGGTGCTCAGGCTGACGGCTACACCTTTCAATGCCGGTGCCCCCGACTCTGAGCGTCAGGAAAGCAATTTAGGCTGTACCACCAGCCGCTAGGCCGCATTACTGATACACAGGTCTGTGCGATCCAGGCCCTGTTGGAACTTGGAAGCCTTCCCTTGAATGGCTTATCCACACTTCACAGCATTGAACCATTGGTGAAATCAGTGAATGCCTTCTTGTTAGTTATTCTTAGGCTCACCCTTGGACATGCTTCTTCATCAATTTGAGTGTGGTGATGTCAATGAAAGAATGTCTCTGGCCAATTTTAATTGTGATGCTGACATTTTGAGTGGTAGATTTTAGGAGAGAGAAAAACCATCAGTAAATTATGAATGAGATGCATGAGGACTGAGAATCTGACAAAACAAATTAATTCCATTGAAAAATTTAATGCCCACATAAATATCTATATCACAACACACTGTTGCAGCCATTTTAAGTGTACAAGTTGCACTGGAAGTCTAAGGCCAATACCTTTCCAGGTGAATCTAGCCGGAGGATGGCCACATCTCCCTGTTTCTCCAGTTTGACATGCTGGTTGGCTGCTGCTGGGTTGGTGGTGGCAAACAGACGCCATGATGCAGCAGGGCCGACTGAAACAGGATAATACCCAATTAGCAGCAATCTCATTTCAATTTCTAAGGGAAGGGCAGCAGAATGATAACACCTTACACCCAGCCCTTAATTTTCATGGACCAGCCAAAGGGGAGCATTGTCATAGTATCAGGGAAAGCCTTTCCAGGGCCCAGCAAGTGGCAGCTTGGGATTTTGGTGTAGTCAAGCATAGATGCTTCCCCAGAATCTCTGTTCACATGACTAACAAAAGGTTTGGGGTTGGTATGCTACTTGCTTATAACTTACACTCAACCACTGCAGGGTCAGGTAAGCTTAGGTAATGTTAAGTTAGGCTAGGCTAGGTTTTGCATTCCTACTAAGTGTGCATGTTTTTCTAGGGGTAAGTGATCATATGGACAATTTTCTAGATGGGTACCTATATCATTCATGAAACTATTGTGGTTTAACCATTTATATTCAAACTTTGAGCTCAGCGTGCAACGGGAGACTTTCAGTTTCACCAAAAGGAACATTTGGCAGAAAAAGGTGATTACCTGCCAGTTGAACAGGAGACACTTAAGCAAATAATATACATCCTCATCCACTCAAAAACTTGATCATTTCCATCATGTTGATGTCACCAACTGGTTACTGGTTTGACCACAATTCACGCAGGAGAATAGAAAATTTAAGCATTGGCAAACCGTTTTCCACTGGGTGCAACAACTTATTAGCAATAAGTGATGACGATTCTTCTTCTGAAATAAATCTAATTATAACATTTACAATAAATTGACTTACTGCGGCAAAAGTGGCGCGATTCCACAAACTAGTCTCGGTGTTTGAAACAATCTGTTAGAACATGATATCGATATACTTACATCTCGAAGGCAAGAGGAGAGAGTGCGAAAAATGACGAAGTGCACTGGCTGCCCTAATAGACATGATGAAAAGTTTTATAATGAACAACAACCGCAGCCAACCGGTTGGCAACTCTCGCCGCAAAAGAACGAAGAGGTGGGTCTCCCGTCTCTTTTCGCTTATAAGTACCAAGTTCTTTGTAAGTACTTTTGAAAAGAAACGAGTACATTTATTCAGCATATATTTTATGCCTTTTAGGCGCAAAACCAAATTTTAAAATGTAATTTTCATTTACAAGGCAATGTTATTGAAGATACCTTTTTGTCATAACATCGTCCATCGTACTTTTTTATTTGGCAGTGTTTTAATATGCATAGCGGCGGATGCCTTCGCGAAATAGGTAGGTATGTACATAAATTGCAAATTTTCCCTCATTCTATATGTTTCCAACAGTAAGTTTGTAAAAGTAGGATGAATAACGTTATCTTTTAACTGATTATCAAAAAAATTGAAGTGTTTTGATATGGTGATGTTCGAAAAAAAGGTGGAAAAAAGCAGTGGTTTAGGCAACAATTCTGATAGAAACGCGCGTGTGTGTGTGACGATTTGTTGTGAAGAGTGTTTGAATTTGAAATGTTGGAATATTTATTTTGAAACGACGGTGGGTAGTGATAAGTGCTATTTATGATAATATTGGATATAGATGATGCAAGGATTAGCGGTAAAAGTATACATTAAGTCCGAGTGACTGTTAAAAGATAAAGTTTTCATATTCTTACATTATTTGACACCCTGAATCCAAAAATGATACTTATATGTCCTGGAAATAAAAGAAATACCGAATTAGCTTTTATCCGTGACATACCTACTTGCTGAGAACTGAGGAGCGTTTTCTATCAGGTCATGTCTACACTATAGGAATCAATTGATTTTTGTTGAAGTTATGTTCCATAGGTACTCCATTGTACCTAGTTATTCCATAGGTACAAATGAGAGGTCTAAAAACAGCATAAATTTTACATGAGGAAAACAGCCAGTTTGCAGGTCAATTAGACGCACCGATCCAAGTTCAAAACCTGCACCAAGTACTTACTAACCCTTTAAAAACAGCTGGAAAATCTGTGCCAAAGCACTAAGCAGGCTGAGAGCCCTTAAAGTCCGCACCAAACTAAAATGACCAGACCTAATCTTGGGCTGACTACAGCAGCACTGGCATACTAACGTGAGTGACAACAGCCCAACACCACTCCTGGCCCAACAGGTGCTGCAGAGCACAACATTGCCGCCAGAGGCTCAGATAGTGTGGTGGATAGCTTGGTATCCGCACCGTGCTACACCAACCCCGCGTTCAGAGTCTCGGATGACAAAGATTCTACTTCATCCTGCCAATCCTGTTCAATAACTGCAACCAAGCCCCAGCTGATCTTGAACAGGATTGGCCGGACGGCATTGTCTGAGAGACCCTGAACCTGGGATAAATCTGCACTGCATCAAGCCAAATCCGCACCACACCCCAATCCTCACCGAATCTGCACCACCTGAACAAGCCTGCATCACTAGCCTGATTAAGCCTGCACTGAGATCTTGGCGAAATTGCCATACTTTGCAGAATGGGGAAACAGCAGCATGCTGATGAACAAATGGTGACTGAACAGCACTCAGGTCAGCAAGTGCAGTGTTCATAATCATATCTTAATTGCACTTGCTAACATGACATGTTCTCTGTTTCAGGCTATAGCAAAGGCTGAAACAAATATTGGTTCAAGCAATTAGCTGGAAGAAGGATATTTTTGGGTATTCTTCTAGCACTCAGCAGGTGTCTTGCATGCTTCCACCCATTTTGTGGAAAGTCACTAGACTCTCCAGCCCTTGAGATATTTACACAAATTTTGCTTATAAAAGTCTAATAAAATAATCTTACAGAACAAAACATAATCTAACCTCACCTCAACAACCTTACCTACTAACCTATCAACCTATAACCTACCAACCAACCTACAACCTACCAATGTGTAACCTACAGAAAAATTGTGTAACTAGGTATCTCAAGAACTGGAGAGTCTAGCAACTTTTCTCAAACAGGTGGCAGCATGTGAGACACCTGCTATAAAATTGCCATATTTTGTGACTTGTTGTTTCAATCATTGCAGCTGCTTGGGACTTTGCTGCTGGAAGACTGTGATTACATATGGATTGGATTCTTCCAGATTATTTTAATCCCGTCATTGCTGTGTCTCCCTCAGAGCGCATGGCAGCAACACTCCATGAGAGTGCCAAAACGAATATGTCTCAGTCTGAGGGAGATGATCCACCACAGCCAGCAGCTGCTCCATCAAACTCTACTCAAAGCCCCCACAATATGAAAAAGACCAATGGCAAGTCATCTAAGAAAGGCAAGAAATCCAAGTCTTGTAAATCACCTCAAAGAAGTTCAAAGCAGGATTCCAATGTAGATCTTCACTCAGATTCAGCAGATGTTCCAGCAAAGTCATCTCATGGCCCTGTGAGGATAAAAGGGGTCAAGTCTAAGAAAGCCAAGACTTCCAAGTCCAAGAAATCACCTCAAAGAAGCTCAAGGCAGGACCTGTCTGCCGGAGATTCTCAATCAGAGCCAGCTTATGTTCAATCAAATTCACCTCATTGCCCTCACAAGATGAAGGAGACCAAATGTAAGCCAGCTAAGAAAGAAAAGTCTGGCAATTCACCAAAAAAGACAACCAAACAACCACAGCATACTGAGGATGCTGCAACCTGTGAAAATGACATCCAAGGAGCACATACTCCTAAGAGAAAATGTAGCTCAAAGTCTCGTCCTGCTCCCGGGAAGAAAAAAGGTCAAAATGGTAAAATGCCCAAACCATGCTGTTCTCGTAAACAGGTTTCTTTCACCACACCAGCTTGTGATGCGACAGATCCAGAGGAGGAGGATATAGCCGACTCCACCACTCTGTTTGGCTCTCCTGAATCAGAGAGTGGGACCTCATCGGCAGGCTGGTCACGCTCTAAAGTCACCTATGCAGTGGGCAAAAAAGGTGGGTAGCTAATTAGGTTTTTGAAATGCATTATTCATATGAGCAGAATGATTTGTGATGCATTATCTGTTATTTAATTCACCTTTCTGATGTAATTGGAATTTGATATGACTGGCCTGTTTGCTTGAAGTTTGGTAATGCTTTGCCTGTGTATATATTTTTGCAGTCACATCATCATATTTAGGATATAAGATGCTTTCTATAAATGCTTTTAAAATAAGTATGAAGAATGCCTGTGTGCAGCTCTACTCACATATTTGTTAGGTATTTGTTGTTGTTTTACTCCGGCGCTATTCCCTTGTCAGGTCGGATGTCCACGCCTAAAGCCCGGAGACGGCGAGCAGCTCCAGGCTGCAAACGCCACCTGAAGGCCGGAGCCGCGCCTCGCCCGGCCTCGGATCGGTCTGCGGCACCAGTCAGCCACCCAAAACGCACTCGCCGAAACGCACTAGTGGTCGCCAAGCCGGCGGTGTTGTTCCGTGACCCGAACGATCCTCTGGGGATGCTGTCGGCGGCCTTCAGCCCGGGTCTGCCGGTGGCCGGCCCGTCCGGGTCGACCGCGCCGCCGGCGACGGTCAGCGCCGGGCCCGAGACGGCCGGCCCGTCCACCTCAGCGGAGACAGAGGAGGAGGAAGACATGGAGCCACTGGACGATCAGCAGTTCGACCAGGAAATCCAACGCAAGGCCACTAAAGCCAAAATCAGCGTGCGAAACGTCAAACACATCATTAAGAGCATCATCAGCAATGAACAGGTTCGTTCAGAGCAGTGAATCGTTGATTTGACGTGAATTTTTAGCTCTTAGATTTGATAAGCTACAGTTAAGCTCTTCATGCGATAGTCTGATCGTCCTTTCCAGTTCTCTATCAGGCTTTGCCAAGGGCCAAGGCATCATTAGACAAGTACTGAAAATAACGATAAATACCTGAGAATCATTTGATCTTCATCACGTAAATGTATTTCTTATCTCCCTAGTTTCTGCACCTTGTCTGTATTGTCGGCAGTGACCCCGTTCCTACTTTGCCCCAACCCTCCCATCACTGGGTTCTGCTGGGATATTCTGACGCTCAACCCTTCCCCTCACCAGGTGTTGGCCATGATGCGTTACGCCGAGTCCCGCGAGGCAAACCCTGACGGCGCCACGCTGCCGCCGTCGATGGAGCCCAAGATGACGCGTGCGCGCGCCCGTCAGCTGGCCGACACCCACCTGACGCAGCTGCCTCTGACGCCGGTGAAGCGCGGCTCGACGGCCGACCAGCTGATCGCGCAGGAGTTTCCAGAGGACGACGATGACGACGAGTACACTCCCGAGAAGGAGGTGGACGAGAGTGTCGCCACCGCGTCCCCGTGCTCGTCCCCGGCGCTCTCCTCGCCCCGCTCGCCGTCCGTCTGCTCGTCGCAGCCGCAGACCCCGCGCACACCCGGCTCGGTGGCCAGCGAGGCCGACGAGCCGCTCAGCCGCCGCACGCGCAGCCGGCTGCCGCTCAACGATATGGCGCTGGAGGAACTGGAACGACTGGTGAGCGCGGGCAGGGCAGGGAGAGTGGCAGGTCGGTGGTGGACTGTGGGGCGCACGATTGCTCGGAGCTAGTTGTTGGTGCCGGTCATATTTGTTTCAAGTGTTAGTAGTTTTTAGTATAGTTAGGAGCTTTATTTTCATGATTCTTATGTTTCCGTGAAGTAGGATGCTGCTAAGCGGGCTATTTCTTCCTAGCCTAGCTCACCTAGGTGTATGCACCTGGCAGTTGTCCGTTTTATAGCCAGCCATTGCCCTCAGCACCTCACTCTGCTCAGTGTTCTAACCGCCCTGATTCCTTGCCCAGCTGGTGGCGCCCGATGTCGAGCCGGACACCTACTTCCCTGTGGACGACGAGGACGAGGACTGGGTCGGCTTCCTCCGCGGCTTCAGCGCTCCTCCGACCTCCACCGACGCCCCGGAGGAGGAGGAGGAGGAGGACGAGGAGTATGTGTTCCAGGTGAGTGAGAGAGGAGTGTGGGCTGGGTGTGTGTCCTTGGTGAGACTCGGGCTTGGCCATGGTCGCCCGAACAGGCGCTAGTTCAGGGCTCAGCTTGCTTTGCGGCACCTTGCTACATTGTTATGATGTAGCGTCATTGATGTGGTGTATTAATGATTTGCTTATGCTGATCGACCATTAATTTTAAAACGGTCTCGATTGGTTCTTTGACATGTGTCATGTGTGGCAGTCTGCGCGGTATGTCCGAGAGGTGACCGCCGCGCTCTGTTAGTTGTTGGCTCGTTTACCGGCAGTTTGTATCGAACCCACTACCCAATATCGCACCGCCTGTGTGTCTCCACGTGCCGTCTGTGACCGGTCGGCCCCGTCCCTTCCGACACCGGCCCCGACACCGGCAGTATAGGACCGTTTGTGAAGTGTGTATCTTTCCGCCGCGACTGGGACCGTCCCGACCCTCCGGATAGCCAGTAGTGTGTCTAACCTCCGTCTGTGACCAGTCCCGTCCCTTCCCACCGCCGCCGGCAGGTACAGGAGGAAGAGGAGGTGGAGCGGGAAGAGATGCGCAGGGACCCGGCCGTGCGCATCCCGCAGAAAGAGGTCAACAAGCTGATGCTGGAGCTGATGAAGGACGTGGATGAGCTGCAGTGGACCGACCTGCCCGACCCCAACCAGCTGCCCACCCAGCCGATCCGCATCCCCAAGACGCCGCTGACCATGATGACCGACAGCCAAGCCAAGCAGCTCGACCACCAGATGATCGCGCACGTGCAGCTGCTGGCGCAGACGCACATGCTCTGCTCGGAGCACGACTGGCTGCGCGCCGAGCAGGCCGGCTGCGCGGCGCTGCTGGTCGAGCTCAACAGCCTGTCGTCGACGCTGCACCCGGAGGACCCGACGCGCTCCTTCTTTCACCCGCCCAACCTGGCTCCGGCGCTGCAGCTGGTGGCCGACGTGGAACGGATGACCCCCGAGCAGCTGGCGGACGACCCGTCCAAATTCTTCACGTGAGTCTTGGGGTGGTGTTTGTTCAATATTGTAAGACATGTTTATAAAGTCTGATGGCCAAGAGTTGCGAACGAAAATTATGATTAAAATCTAAATCTTTTTGTATTTCAGACGTTTCGACAACACTGTGCCATCGTCAGTAATTGATATAAAATATTTCCTAAAGTCATAAATCACATTTTAAAAATAACATTTAGGAAATATTTTATATCAATTACTGACGATGGCACAGTGTTGTCGAAACGTCTGAAATACAAAAAGATTTAGATTTTAATCATAATTTTCGTTCGCAACTCTTGGCCATCAGACTTTATGGGGTGGTGTTTATAGGTAGGTATGGACACTGGGGAAGACGAATCGGATGCAGTTCGCTCGATGATGTTTGGGATTTTTTATATTTTTCATTGGTGCCGTTTTTGATACGACGCATGTAATTGACTTTCGTATTCGTTTTGAACTGTAGTAGCCTGCAACCGTGTTTTACACTTTTTCTCCGTTTAAAGCCGACCGTTCAGCCGGTCGGTGACGGTACGGGCGCCCAGCTCTGACTCGGTCTCCTGTGTCTGTGCCGCCAGGGCCTCGCGCCAACGCTACTGCCGCCTAGCAGACTGGATTCTCGACCAGCTAATGTCCAGCACGGCGTTCGTGTTTCCCGAACTATTGCCGGTGATGTGTGCCCTGCGACCCGAGGACCAGAACCGACACCGCTGGACCACGCCCGCCATCGACCAGCTCATCGCCATGGGTTTGGAGATGTTCACCAAGTACGCCCAGCGGCCCGGCCAACGGCGAGACATCTGTCCCTTCGGCGTCTGCCGGCTCATGGCCGAGTACATGCTGCCGACGACGCGACGTCGACTGGTGGAGCGCATTGCGAGCGTTCGCTCCCTACGTGATCCGACCAATCCGATCCAACAGTATTTGGACAAGAAGCGTGCGCCCCCGGTACCCATTGTCGACGCGCTGCCCAAGTACCCGCTGACGCCGCTGAAAGCCAGGGTCAAGGATCTGCCGGAGCCCTGGTACTCGCTGGAGTACCGCGGCAATGGGTTCTTTCTGACGGTGAGCGACAAGAAGGGTGTTGTCAGTGTGCCTCAGCACGATGCCCTCTTGGGCGGGGTCCGCCAGCCTGTGACCAGGGTGCTCAGACAGTGTAAACACTGCAGAGAAACCGACTACCAGCAGCGCTACGCCCATAGGCAATGGAAAAAGAACGAAGACGGTGAGTGGGAGAAAGTCGGCAAGCGATGGCGCTGGCGGAAGCGCAAATCCACCAAGAAGGCCTCCTCGGATGGTGATCCAAGCTCGGGCTGCGAAGAAACTCCGGTGCAGGGCGACATACTGGCCATGTGTATGCCGGCCATCACAGACGACTCGCCGGCCGCGTCCGATCACGAGGAAGAAGTTGAGGACCCTCTCGACATCGGATCGCTTGCAGCCGACGATCCGATCGGCGTCGAATCCTATGCAGCTGACGACCCGCCTGTCGATGCTGCGGAGGAGGCTGAGGCTGAGGAGAGTCGGAACGAGCAGCAGAGTCCACCGTCGGGGGACCAGCTGAGATCCAGACAGCCGCGGACCGCGCAGAAGACGATGCTGACGGACGCCTCGAATGGCGAGGAGCTGGTGACTGTGGTGAGTGAGGAGGATGGCACGGCTCCTTCTGAATCTGTCGGCTCCCCCGCGCCGGTCCTCGCCGACGGCCAGTCGCGGGAGGTGTCTGACGCGGGCAAGAGGCCCACCGGTATCGTGGTGACGGCGATCGCGGCGCCGGCCGGGCCCGGCCAGGTGCGCCTGACGCCCTCCGGCGGCTCGGTGATCGAACTCAAGGAGGAGGACGGCCGACTGGTGGTGTTTATCCGCGTGCCCGGCCGTCCGACGCTGCGCGTGCCGGTGCGCGCCTCGTCCGGCTCCACGCGGCTGCTGCTGCCGCCCACGCTGGTCCTGCAGGAGGCCGCGGCCGGCCAGCCCAGCACGGCCGGGTCGGCCAAACAGACCGGAGTGGTGGCGCCCACCGTGCGCCAGCAGGAGCCCCAGCAGGAGCCGCCCGCCGTCCTCACACCGCCCCAGACTCAGGAGACGGACGGCCCGCCCGAGCCGCCCCCGCCGGAGCCGATGGAAGAGGACGGGCCGCCGGAGCCGTCCAGCGACACGCCCCTCCCTGAGTCACCACTGCCTGTGAGTGCAGAGCCCGACCCGTCACCGCGCACAGACACGGCCGAGAAAAACCTGTTCAAGGCACCACTCGCTCCACCGCACAAGATAACTCCACCGCGCAAGAAAGCTACGCCGCACAAGAAAGCTGCGCCGCTCAAGAAAGCTACGCCGCTCAAGAAAGCTTCAAAAGTCACTGTGCAGCACCTGCTCCGACGGAGCCCGCGTCTCAGTAAGTTGTCCGCGCCGCCGGAGTGGCTGAGGGTTTCTGAGGTCTACTCAGTGACGGCAAACACGACTGGCACTGCGGCGAGTGGTGACGCGTCTGCGTCGACGAGTGGCGGCTCGGCGGCGGGCGGTGACACCACGGCTGACGGACGAGCTGGCAGTGAGTCGTCACGCGGTGCCAACGCCAGTGCGGGTGACGCCGCCACGCTCGGGTCGCCTCCTGCCGACCGTGGCGGGCCGAGCGGCGTGTCCCAGCCGGGCGGTCCAGCCCCGGCGGCCGGCCCGAGCCCAGCGGACGTGCCCACAATGCTACCTCCCTCTCTGATGACCCCGCTGCGGCCGTCCTCCCCGCCGACCGAGTCGGGCCTTCTGCTGGGCTTCCCGACCCCGAACATCACACCGGCGCCGACGGCGGACGGCGGCGAGCCGTCCACCCCGGCCATGCTGGAGACGCCTCTGGTGCGGTCCCCGCCGGCGCACGCCCTGCTGGAGACGCCTCAGCCGCAGCGCTCGCCGCCCCGCTCACCGAACACGCCGCCGCCGCCGCCGCCGCAGCTGACGGCATCCAGCGACAGCCACTCGAGTATGAGTCTGAGCTTCTTCCGGAGGACGGTGGGCGCCGTGCAGGCGGCGGCCGAGGCGGCCGGCCCCCCGCCGGAGCAGCATCTCACCTCTGAGCAGTCGCTCGGGGGAGTACTGGACGCCCTGCTGACCAGACCAACGGAAGGACAGACTGAGGGCCAGCCAGAGACGGTGAAGGTGGAGGCGCGGGAGTCTGCGCCGCCGGTCTCAGCGTCAGCGGCGGAACGGACAGCCGATATCAAGCCGGCTGTCAGTGGGGAGTCCAGCGTGGAACCAGGGACTGCCAACACCCCTGCCGCCGCCCCCGCTGCTGCTGCCGCCGCCCCCGTCCCCGCTACCCCCACCACCACCTCCACTGCCGTCCAGCCGCCGTCAGCCTCGCCGGCGGCGAGCGGTAGTCGCTCTCAGGGTGTTCGAACTCGCAGCGAGTCAGCGTCCGAGGCGGGCACCCAGCGCGCGCCGCAGACGGATACTAAGCCGGTGCTGCCGGCAGAGGCGACGGAGGAGACTGCTGCCCAGACAGAGGAGGTGAGAGCAGAGAGGGAAGGGGCTTAGTTACTGGAAACAGCGCGGGAAACAAAACTCGAGTGTGCACTCGCTAAGTTTAACCGTAAAATGACATATGTCTTACCACTACTTCCCATGGGTGACGAATGTGTCGATGCATGCCATGTTGAAGTATCAGTTGCAATGCAACAACAGGTGATTATTTCTTTTAGTACTCGGAAGATTGCCGTTTGTCTTGGCATGTGCCCACCCAACTGCTCTACGTTTCGACGAGCAGTGAGGTAATCCCTCACACGTCACACCCCTCCCCCCCCCCCTTGTCAGGACCGGGAGCTGGCCAGCTCCTCTGCCCTGCCGTCGGGCCGCAGCAGTCGTCCAAAGCGCAGCCGCCAGCAGCGCGAGGCGGAGCTCACTCGTCTGGCGGTGGCGCCCGAGTCGCCGACGGTGCGCGAGCGGCGCGAACAGGCCCTCTCTGAGAGCTTCCTGCAGCGCGTCCGGGTGAGTCCGGAGGACGATTGAGGGGGGTGGGGTCTGGAGCATTGCCGCGATGGGGAGGCGGGGGGGGGGGGCGACATTGGGTTCTTGAGACAATAGGAAGTCCTTTGTCTGGAAACTTTATAACGCGCTGCTATGGTGCTTCTGATATGATAAGCTTAGCTCATTTTAGTTTTGAGCCTGTTTTTGCCCGTGTTTATTACCTTTCACGGCGAGATCTTGGATAAAAACTCTGCTGTCATGGGTCGTTGATGCTTTATAGGCTCTCTTCAGCTGTTTGACTTCACGTAGTATGTAGTCATATTGGACAGAATAGAAGAGATATCGATTAAAGTGCATAGCGAATGCTCTTATACCAATTGTATAACTAACTAAGCCGGAACAACGAACCATGGACGGACTTATCGGTTTGACCCGACCGTAGTTCCGTCGAGTTGAAATTTGTAACAGTGTCGCACGCAGTGCACCACGCCCTATCTAATCATCCATTGGTATGTCTGATGTCGGTGTGACTATCAGGTTCTGTCGGCTGCGCCAACGGCGCAGGAGGTACTTTGCAGAAGCTGTGCTTAGGTGGGGTGGAACAAGTATCGTAGTGGTGTGAAAACTGTGACAACGCCTCTCAGTGTTAACACTGAATATTGTTACCTGACGATGCGGGGTTTGAGGTATGTAGCGTCAACAGCGGCTGAATTTCTTGGTACCTATCTGTCAGAGGATTTCTTGCGTTGGACGGATGGTCGGCAATGGTTAGAAGGTTAATAATATATTTCGTTCGAGCTGCGTGCTTGTTAGCCGCTCAAGTAAAACAAGAGACTTGGGACGTATTGTCAAGGCTACCAGCTGGACTGGATGAGGGTCGCCGGGCGCGAGGTGTCGGTGATGGCCGGTCTCTGAGTCCACACGGCTCACACCGACACCTCGCGGCTCGCGTCTCCCTCCCTCCCCCTGCCCAGCGGAGCCCACCGAGGTGTTATGGCCGTGCCAGCCGCGGGGCCCACTGAAACAGCCGAATCTCACAGCCCCATCTCTGCCGCGGATGACGCGCCGAGCAGAGTGGGTACCGCCGGGCTCCACAGACAGCTACTGTGTGGCTCCACAGATACTGGGTCAGAGAGTCGGCGGGTCAGTCAGATCAGCCGAGCAGCTAGCTGTAGGCGTCCAACACTGTACTCGCTCGGAAACTGGGGACTAGTGCGCCGATAGAAGCCGCTCAGTCTTCATAGACAAACGGGCAACGATCAAAGAACGATAAACGAGAAACCCTGAGGAATACGAGCTCGGATGTAGCTATCTGCCTTCACCAAGTATGCGGTAGAAATTTTCGTGAGTGAAGCAGATGCGCAACAAGCTGTGCTTTCATGTAAGGTCATCAGCATAAAACCATTGTTTGGATACGCTATGCGGCACAAACAGGAATGTCAATGATAAGCTATCGCCGTTCCATCCCGCATGATAGCGGCATAGCGCCTCAGGTTGCAGCCCAGTGACCCTCCCCTCCCCCTCCTATCGCTGCCGCAGGAGTGCACCGAGAGCGTCGACCCTGCCATCTACCAGCGTTTCGAGAAGCTGCTGCTCGACTTCCCGGAGAGCGCCGACGACGAGGTGACTCTGTACGACTCCGTGTGCGGCCTGCTGCGCGGCTTCCCCGACCTGGCAGACGAGTTCCTGATGTACGTGTCGGAGGATGTGGCCGTACGCCGCGGTCTGGTGGCCAAACACGCCCGGCTGGCGCGCCTACAGGAGCTGGCGCGAGGGATCGACGCCGTCAACGCCGCCCACCCGTCCCAGGTGCTCAAGGTATGTCAGACTTCCGACGGGAGTTGTGTGGATGAAGGGATATGTTGTGTGAGGTTTGTGTGATTGGAAGCTGGGGAGGGGGGAGTCTAAATGCGACGCTGCGGGTTTGCTTTTTTCTCGTCGTCTTTCTTTCATTTATTCTTGCTGTTTCCACTCATCTCTTACCTTTCCTATGATTTCTTCTATTAATTGCGCTCTCTGGCTAAATGTGTCACATTTGGACCGCGGCCTCCGGCTACCAGTGGCGCTGAGGGCGATGCCCCGACCCGCCTCTGACCGCGTCCCCCCCCCCTCTACCTGCAGCTGGCGCGGTCGCTGACCCAGCTGACCAGCCGTGGGGAGGAGGTACGCCCGGCCGACCTACAGGCCGCCGTGCAGCCTCTGGTGCGCGGCTGTCCGCTGCTGTCTGCCCAGCTGAGTAGCCTGCTCGACTCCGAGACGCCGCAGCCGGAGCTGACGCGCCGGGAGGTGGACTTCCAGACGGCCGCGCTGGACGCTGAGCCGGCTGACCAGTTCGAGGAGGTGACAGAACTGGAGGCCGACGAGCCGGACCCGTACGGCACAGAGCGCTGTCCGTGCGCCTGCCACAGCGACGGAGAGGATGTGCGCTTCCTGCAGCGGCGCCGCCACTGCGAGCGCTGCGGACTGCGGTTCATGGCGGGAAGGGTCTATCTGCAGACGGGCAAGGTGGGTGTCGAGAGCCTGATGGCTTGTGGGTATCGAAATAGTGAATAATTTGAGGATGGCTGCTTTTTCCTGCGCCAGCTTTTTGGTTATGCTTGAACGTATCTGCCGGTAACTACAAGTAGTAATTGTAATTCAAGCTCTGTTATGATTCGTCTTTTGCAAAAATAGTGCACTGATGTTTTGGCCATGCTACTGCGTACTGTTGATCTCATGACTTACTGCTAACCACCTACCCCTGTCGGCCTTCGCCCTCCCCTATGCTCTATATAACTGTCCTTTCCCCTCCCCTACCCTGCAGGTGCTGCGCCCGGCGCGTGTCGTCAGCTGCTCAGAGCCGGATGAGCCGTCCACCTCCGCTGCGGAGCCGAGCCGCGGGGACAGCTCACCGCCCCCGAAACGGGCACGGAAACGGACCGTGTCCCGGGGCCGGCGGTCGCGGCCCTCGCCGGCTGCGCGGACCGGCTCCTCCCCACCGCCGCCCCCGCGAGACCCGACCCCGCCGCCCTCCGAGCCGGCACCCCCGCCCCCGGCGGCAGCGGCACCGGCAGCCGCCCCCAAACGGGAGCCGGGTCCGTCCGAGCCCGCTGAGTCGGAGCCGGCGGCGGAGCCAGCTCCGTGGAGCCGCGACGACGACCTGGAGATCCTGACGAGCTGCCAGCGGAGCGGGGACGGCGAGAAGACGTTCCGAGCCATCCAGCGCCGCCTGCCGACCCGGTCTGTGGCCCAGCTGCGCAACCGCTTCCAGCAGTTGATGGAGATGCTGCAGCAGCAGATGGGCCAGGAGCCAGACGAGTTTGTTGACGAGGAGTGAGGAACGCGTCAGAGGAGATGGGAAGTTGATGAACTACGACTGACGGGCGATGAAGGGTATTCAGGAAGATTCAGTGCCAGTTTACAAGAGGGGAGGTTTGTGTTCGAAGTCTACATTGTACCTAAACGATTGCGTGTGATGATAAGAATCGACTCAGTGCTGTGCGACAAAGAAGCCAGCTGGTTGAAGGGAAACCAACAAACAGAGCTGCTGCTACTCGCATATGTAGCGACGCTGGGGGACATTGTGCGGGTCGTCCACTCTCTGTGTCGCGTGTCCAGAGCGTTGAAGGACCATGACGGACCAATTGAGGTGTGCTGGTGCTGCCCGGGCAGGGGTGTTCTACAAATCGGCGCGGTCGGCTGTCAGTTCGGTAACAAGCCTGTGATTATTTTGTATCGTGTGTTCACCATCACTCACCATTGGCGTGCCTCATAATGTCTCCTCCTTAGCTAGCGGGTTTGTAGTTTAATCGTGAACTTGTTACAGTATTTTTAGGAAGTGAAGCTGTGAGCTTACTGAAGCGAAGTACAATAAAAGTTTGACAAACTGCAATTTTTTTTCAACTACCGAGGTAGCCGTTTTTATGGGAATGCGCCCAGCTATCGATGGGGAAGTGTACCACCTCGCACATTGCAGATGTCACGGTCGGCACGATTTACTCGGATGAGTTTGTTTGAACGAGAATGTAAAAAAAGGCCGAAGTAACTGCGTAAGACGTGAGGTCCTGAATTTCAGCCGTCCTCACTCCAGTCCCCGCCCTTATCATGACTGACCAATAACCCTCGCCTTAGTTGCTAGGCGCAAGGGATGCCATTTCCCTACAGCTGTCTACCTGTTCCCACGCATCGACCAACTTTGTACTGTTCCCCTACCCCACCCCATCCCTGAATCGCCGCTATAGCTGCCCCGTCACGCCGCCCCGCCCCCCGCGGGTCATGTGACCCTCTTTGTGCCATCGACCGGACGGTCACGTGACCGGCGGCGCGATACGACGCAGACCGGCCGGGGCGTAAACAGAGCCCTCCGCCGGCCGATCGCCATTGCCCGTCGGACGGAGGCTGTGCGCGGTCGCGATGCGTGCTGTGACGCTGTGTGCGGCTCTGGCCGCGCTGGTGGCGGTGGCCGCCGGCCGGTACGAGCCCACCTGGGACTCTCTGGACACACGGCCCATTCCCGGCTGGTACGACGAGGCCAAGTTCGGCATCTTCCTCCACTGGGGCGTCTACTCGGTACCCAGCTTCGGTGACGAGTGGTTCTGGGAGTACTGGCAGGAGCAGAAGTGGCCCCAGTATGTCGAGTTCATGGAGAAAAACTACCGACCCAACTTCACCTATCCCGACTTCGCGTCCCAGTTCACGGCCGAGTTTTTCGACCCGGCGCAGTGGGCCGATCTGTTCAAGGCGGCCGGAGCCAAGTACGTCGTGCTCACCACCAAGCATCACGAGGGCTTCACGCTGTGGCCGAGCAAGTACGCCTGGAACTGGAACGCCAAGGACGTGGGGCCGAACCGGGACCTGGTCGGTGACCTGGCCGCCGCCGTACGGAACCGCACCGACATCCGATTCGGCGTCTACCACTCGCTGTTCGAGTTCTTCAACCCGATCTGGCTGTCGGACAAGGCGAGCAACTTCACGCAGGTGACGTTCCCGGCCGCCAAGTCGATCCCGGAGCTGTACGAGCTGGTGTACGGCTACGAGCCGGACATTATCTGGTCGGACGGCAGCAGTCAGGCGCCCAGCTCGGACTACTGGGGCAGCAAGGACTTCCTGGCCTGGCTGTACAACGACTCGCCCATCAAGGACCGCGTGGTCACCAACGACCGCTGGGGCACCGACGCCGGCTGCGCGCACGGCGACTTCTTCACGTGCCACGACCGCTACAACCCGGGCGTGCTGCAAAAGCACAAGTGGGAGAACTGTATGACCGTGGACCGCTACTCCTGGGGCTACCGGCGAGAGGCCAAGCTGGCAGACATGCTGACCATGGACGACCTCACAAAGGTAAGCGATATCTTGTCAACATATTTGCTCTTAAAATTCTTCCCTAAAATAGATTAAAAAATATGCACTTTTTATCAAGAGTAGCATTTGAACAAGCAGTGAGCAGCACACATTCGATGGGTGTTTAATACGCAAGCATAATCAAATGTTTTCAGCATAGCATTAACGATGTGTCTTGTTTCACATTTAACTACACAATGCACGATGTTTCCTACCAGTGAACACCAATCCAGTCTATTCATGCCGTCATATTCACTCTTCGTCCCCCAGGAACTAGCTGAAACCATCAGCTGCGGCGGTAACCTGCTGCTCAACGTCGGTCCCACGCACGACGGACGCATCGTGCCCATCTTCGAGGAGCGGCTGCGGCAGATGGGCGAGTGGCTCGGCATCAACGGCGAGGCCATCTACAGCTCCAAGCCATGGACGGTGCAGAACGACACCACCACCAGCGGGGTGTGGTACACGCAGCGTGACGGCAGCGTGTACGCCATCGTACTCGACTGGCCGGCCGCCGACGGTGTCGTACTCGGCAGTGTCGAGCTGCCCGCCGACGCTAAGGTGGCCATGCTGGGTTACACTGAGCCGCTCCAGTGGACCCAGGCGGCCAAGGGAGGGGTGCAGGTCAAGTTCCCCGACCTGGCCAAGGTTAGCTCGCGCTGGGCCTGGGTGCTGAAGTTCGATGATGCGCAGAGTGTTGAGTCTAATCGGCTGTGAGTGAGGCGTTATCGGATGGAGGGATGGTTGATTGTATAGGGGACGGGATGAGCTGTAGGATCGTGGGCGAACAATTATACCAGGCATATTCCAGTGGCATAGCTGACGCGGCGTGTACCGCAGCGAAATATAAACAATGACAGTCACCTAACTGAATAAAACCATGATAATAAAGCACCTTTTGAAAACCGATAAAATATTGGATGTGTCAAAAAATATCGGTGTATTTTGCGCATAACGCGAATGGCAGACCACCGACAGGGACTCGCTTTCATCCCAACACATCACACCACATAATTTGCATATGATGCACGAATGACGAAACAAGTCGGCACTGTTATGAATGGTGAAAAACAACATCGACGATGAATCTATGAGACATGTGGCATAAATTAATTTGTCCCGATAAGCCTTCTCTGGGTCAAAGATACCCAACACAAGGCCCATGGGCGCTCAGTAACGAAAGGCTCGCTTGATTCATCACCTGTCATCAGCAAACAAGTCGCCACTGTCACAATTCACATTCCGTTTCGTCAGTCATTATCCACAATCGCATCCACACATGCTGCGAGTTTAGGAAACCACGAGCTCAGCGCTCTAAGGAGTTCAGTGCGAATTGATCTTATCACGAGAGAATCCATCACACATTGAGCTACACTCAACACAAGTACCACTGCAGATTACGAGTTCTGCTCACAAGAAATAGCTCACCGTGAATTCGGTCCACTGTGAGTTCCGCTCACCAATAGTGCGGCTCACAAGGGTTGGGCTCAACATGACTTCATCTCACTCTGCGAGCATCCCTCCACTAGTCTATCCTTCGCGACAGTATCTCTCCGATCATAGTCGCCGGTAGTCGGTCTTTTCGAGCTGCACCAGCGGTTTGAGCTGCTCGGCGAAGTTGCGCACGTCCTCTGCCACGGCGTCGTGTCCCTGCGGCGCCAGGACGCTCAGCTCTACTACGTGGGACATACTCAGCGGCTCCCAGTTGTCGGCAGTCTTGTTCTGGAGGCACACAAGGCGGTATATGTTAGAAGGCCGAATCAGATATATGATGTTGTCGCTTCAGTATCATCAAAAAGACGCAGGCATACGTAAAAACGAGCAGCAAATAGAAACAGTGCCAAGATTGAGATGAGGAAAAGTAAAATGAGGCTGGAGAAACGATAAAAACACGTATGTAATCTAGTTTGAGTGAACAAAACAATACAGCAAAATTGCGGTCGCATGCCACACAATCGACAAAGAACTACGCATCAGCAAATCAAGGTCAACTTTGCCAATAACACTTCCACTGAGGTATGGTCGTTGATTGCATAACTATACTCGAGTGGGAGCTGAGAGGACACCTATCCGGAAATAACCGTCGCTCTCCGGTGGCTAGGCAAAGCGCAAGGGCCTTGTGCACTAAAATAAACTCAAAAACACTCGTAAGACGAGGACTAGAACGATATCTTTGTTACAAGCGTTCAGATAAAGGACGCACAATCAGGACACTAGGCTTGGTTAGTGCAAGGTGACTTCTAAACGACTGAAATATAAGCGTCAGTGAAATCGTGCATCAGCCAAATAATTGGGTATTTAACCGTCAATCCATGACTTTCATACAGTATCAGAGTATACAGTCATCACCCAAACAGCTAAAAAAAAGTCATCAACGACTATATTAAAGCCCGGTTCTTCACTGTGTAGGCTAGAACTGAGAAGCTCCCACTGCCACGACTACCTTGTAAACTTTGTAGACAAGGATCTTCATGCGTCCCTTGCGGAACATCAGTCCCTTGCACATGAACTCGTAGTCCTGCTTGAAGCCCATCTCGGAGAGGAACTCGAGCACGTTGGGGGTGCAGCCGACGTCAATGCTGTTCCGCAGGACCGTCGGGCGACTCTTGTCACCTGTGGAGACCACAGCGGCGGCTTAGCTTAGGTAGGTGGTTACGGTGAAACGGTAGGTAGTTATGGCGGTCATTACGGAGCGAGCGAAGCGAGCGTAGTCTTTCCTTAGATTAACGGAAATTTCTGAGCATGAGCGGCCGGCCGGCCGGCCGGCCGGCCGGCCGGCCGTGGTCACGCTTTTGCGAGGCTTATATCTCAGCAACCACTTGACCGATTTACATGCGGTAAATTTTGTAGGGTAGCTTCATTCCTTCTACCAAGTATTGGACTATTCCCGATGCATGTGGGTGACTCATTATGCACGTGCCACGTGCAAAACGAAGAGGTGTCAGTTTTGTAATTGTTGCAATATCTCGGTAACTACTTGGCCGATCGCGCTGAAAGTTGGCATGTAGGTAGGCACCCACTAGGCACTGCATATCCATGTGCCAGAGTTGGGGTGCTGCTGCACGTGCGCACGTGCAGGGGTCGTTTCCAGATCTCGAGAACGGCTCGACCGATTGCGCTCAAATTTGGTACACAGTTAGGGACCGGTTAGTAGGGTGCCGTGCACAAGTCAGTTGGGACCCATTTTGCACGTGCGCACGTGCAGGGTGCCGCTTCCAGATCTCGAGAACGGCTGGGCCGATTGTGCCCAAATTTGGCACATCGCTAGAGACCGGTTAGTAGGGTGCCGTGCACAAGTCAGTTGGAGGTACCCCCTCGCAATTTCGCACGTGCAAGGCCCACCCTCTCGCTCGCTCCGTTAGTCGCCCCAAAAGGCGTTATACTGGTGGTTACAGTGAGGACTGAGGAGACAGTGTGGTAACGGGTGGCGGCGAAAAGAGCGGGAAAGAAAGAGGTAAGAGGCCAGGAGTCAAAATAAAAAGCCAGACACAGTCAGACGGAGACGAGGCAGATGAGCATGATATTTCGATGATAATGTATTTCGGTGAGAAATATACTAATTATGAGGGTTGAAAATGCTGGAACCATTTATCCTTATTTATCGCGGTATAAATGACAAATTTCCGCGTAATATACGGGCCATGGACATCTACGACGAGCCAGTGACTCTTCTGGATAAAGCGCAAATCAACACCCTGCATATTTAAGTCGCCGTTGGACAGCGTTCCAAGCTACTGCAGCAGCTGGTACTGACCGAGTTCGGGCTGTCCAATGTAGCGCATCGTCCAGGGCGTGTCCGACTGATCCATACCGGGCCTGACGTCCATCGCCTGCCTGACGTACAGCGTCAGCGTCTGCCCGCTCACTGCCGCCACATGAAACCAGATACCGAGTCAGGCACGGACGGCGGAGAAAAGCGTAGAATTTCGAACATTGAGGACGGTATCCAAAGTATCGAGTGTCGGGACAATGTGGGGTAAACACACGGGCGTTTTCAGAAACCAAAACAATATTCTCATGCCGAGAACCATATAGAGATTCGACGAGAGCAGTAATGTTGTGTCCCAATGTGGCACCGACCTGGCCCCAGTGTGAGCACTCGCTCCCGGTCCTGGAACGTCTCCACCTGTTCGTCCACGTTATCTGCCAGGCCGCGCAGACGGTGGATGAGCACGTCTTTGGACGAGTCCAGAACACTGCCCTGCAGCAGGTACTCCTGTGAAATATGAAACAGGTGGTTAATCCGCAAGCAGGGCACTTCTTGGTCACCGTTTCATCTCATCCCACGCCAGTTGGTGGCATTTTACAACTTCTCATTCATTTAATTCAAATGGCCTGTATGGTTCCCCAATAAGAGGCCAAGAAATGCTACCACAGAGCTTCTGTGTATCTATATGGGAAAACTAGCATCATCATCATCATCATCATCATCATCATCATTTATTCTTGCTGATCAAGCATGCTGATAAAGCTACCCAAAAGTGCTCTAAAATAGCACTGAAGGCAGTGGAAAGGTCAGGTAAGGTATAACCTGGACTACAGCTATCATATTTTTGCAACTGAATCAGACAAGCTGGCAGAAGAGCAATATAGAGAGAACCAATCTAAGAAAAAATAATGACTGAAAGGCAGATGGAATGACCTTGCAGCAAAGCTTTATAGTTTATAGCTTAAAACCCACATCATGCAAAACAAACAATATTAAATCCACCACACCACAAACACTTTCTCTTTAAAACCCCTTATATTTATGCCAAATCTGTAATTTATCTTCATATTCTCATAGTTGGTACTTGCCACTTGGCATCATGTCCCATTTAAACATGCTACTACTTTGAGGCATATTTGTCATATCACAGATCACAGTAGTACTGGATTGGAAACAGGATTCCGGTGGCTGCAGTAAGAGGCCGAAAACAGAACCGAATATTTCGAAAAATATTGGTTTATGTGAAAGAAACTTATAAAGAAGCAATCGACTAGCCGTGCTCGTGTTTATTGCTGCATTTTTGCATAATGGCAACTTATTTACTAAACGTTGCTGGTTACACTTTCCTCATCGTTGTGAGGGAACGTATGCCACTGATTTGATTATAATGATTTCTCACTCTCATCCACAAAAAGTACTTGTACATACATGGGAGTTTGATCTCTTTATTTACATGCTAATCGATACCAGTCCTGTCACAACGAACCATCCAAACGTCACGATTCAAACCAACGTCACAAAACACCCCTTCAAGTGTCACTTCGCTTCGCCTGCCCTCCCAATTTCATCAGCGACCTTACTTCCCCGCCTTACATCTTCTTGACCCTGCTGAGCTTTGGCCTCTTGTCGCTCCTCGATCGGGTTGCACCAGTGGCTGGGGTGTCTGCTTCCTGACTTTCGATGGACAGCACTGTCTTGAGTGTCTGTCTCACTTATCAGTTACCATGTTTCCACACTTTCCAGCAAATAGATTGAAAACCGTCGCATACATCTCTGGAAGGAGGCTCCTAAGGACGTCGTGGCTGGCTATCATTGCAAACGACTTCCGGTCAGTTCGACATCTCGGTTTACGACTATCTTCGTCACTTCTGCGTCACTTCTTGGTTGATCGCAGACCAGCAGCTGGTTCCTGTTAGCTTCCGTCTTCGGCAGTTGCCTCCAAATCTGGCAGATCCTCACGGTGAGGTCGATGTCTTCCTCGTCTTCCTCCAGTCGTACCTCCAGCGGCGTAGCCCCATTATAGATTAGCACGCTGGCGGAGGCACCGTGCTTGTTACGCCTGGTGGCCGAGCGCAGAGCCGAGCGTGCCAAGGCGCCGGAGCTGTGTCCCAGGGAGGCCTTGGCGCTGTCATCCAGGTCCTCCATTTCAGTGGATTTCGCCACCGCGGCCACTAGCTCCTGGATGACAAGAGCACCATCCTGCTGTCACTCCTGCTGTGATGGTGCCATTCGGGCGGAGGCGTCTGCGGGGCTGAAACCTCCGGAGTACCGCCTCATTCTCCAGGAACTGTCGGACACTCGACCAGTTGTAGTTGCCACCTGATAGCTGATATTGTCATTCGTGAAGAACGCATCGGTCTGGCCCTTCATAACCTGCTTCTGGTGCGAGTGGCGTGCGGATGCCATGGCTAGTTTCGCTGGCCGCTCGTGCACAGGGGGCATCGCGTAATCCACGCTGGTCAATACTGACAGGGCTGCGCCGCTCTTGAGCCGACGGCGCTGTCTGTGCATGCCGGTGCGAAATGACCGATCTTCTTCGAAATCTTCCTTTCTGAAATGCAGCTCACACACAGCGGAATAGTCCTGATCCCACTAAGCCCGGTCACGGTGACCCATGGCGCCAACCCACTGAGCCCGTAGAGATGTTCGGTGAGAAAAGCGAATAGGTGGCAGTTTTTTTACCGCTCATTCCCCTCCTCCATTGTTGATGTACCTATACGTATGTAAGGCTTTGCACCACACTTTGTTTTCAAAAGAAAACACCACGCATTGTGCCCTCTAAATAATCAAATTAAAATTGAATACTTTGATTTTTTAAGCAAATGAAAGTAACATTGGTAGCTTCGATTTTAAATGTAAACGACAAAACACAAAAATGACGATTTCTTGCAATACACAACACACAAATTATCCACTCAGCAGCACGCAAGAATCCCATTTTGGCGCCGTCGCATAAAAACATTCGGCCTCTTACTGCAACTGCCAATATTCTGTTTCCAATCCAGTACTACTGTTATCTGTGGTCATATCTAAAATCTACACCCTATTTTCTCATCGTCATACAAGTGTATACCTGGTTTGGTACTATCTTGTGCTGCATTGCAGCCTGCAGCTTCTCTTGAGCTGATATAGCTGCACACATTATTCCACTCTTAGAAGGCCTGAAAGAAGAATCTTTAATCAAAGCTCAGTCGACAGAAATAAATAAAACAATGCAAAAATTGATAAAAATGTCAAGTAGTTAAAGCATGCAGGATTTTTTTTTTATTCCAGAAGTCTAGTTTACCCAACTGAACTATCTCAATCTGATCCTATCTTGATCTATAATCAATATACTCGTAATGCTCACCAGTCGAACCCAAACCGTGTTGTAAACACTTCAATCAATGCTTGGTTCTTCGGACAGAGTTACTTCAGTCCTCAGAAACCTCGTTTTCGGCCTTTGCTACTTCTCAAATTTAGATACAAATGTCATCTGTCAAGACTTATCATATAAACGATAACAGCGAGAAAAAAATGCACACAAACTCACAGAACCTCCACGCAGTTTTATGCCTTCAGGCGGTTTATAATTCACAAATGTAACAGCTGCGCAACTTCAATGGCTATTTCATTTTTTAAAGAATATTATGAATCGGAAATTTTGTGCTTCGCAAAAACATGGTCATACATATTGTATTTTGTGCGTAAAAATATTAATTACAATATTCATACAAAATAAATTCATACTATCGCGATTTTTTCAGAAATATTATTTTCATTTATTTTAGACAGCTGAATTTTTCTTTTCACAGGCGTCAGGCATCCCTCTTCATACGTTTTCGGCGCTCGTTCCCGGACTCCTACACTTGAGGGCGACTTTTTTTCCCGTTTTAGGGTACTTTAATTAAATCATGGCTTCTCAGGCGCCTGTTAAAGTGTCACCACTCATCAAGGTAATCATGTGTTTATGTGGTAAATCGCTTTGACTCTTTTCTCGTGTTCCTCTGATGCGCAGTTTTTGCCGCCTGCTAAATGATGTATGTCAAAGTTAATGTTTCACTTCAGATTGGCCAATATAGGTGTCGAAATGAATGCCTCACGTAATTAATAGTGAATAAAAATCATTCCTGAATACCTGAAATGGCAGTCATGCTTCCTAGCTGCACTAAGCTGAGCTGTCCTTATGTTCCTGAATCGGAATTCTTATTCCAAATTCAATTCCGATTAATGCATGTGACTGGGTCCAGCCATGAATCAGAATTTGATGTAACATGCTGGTCGGTGGTCCCGCCTCCTCCTTTGTAGCATTTGATCTACACCTATGACTGGTTAATGGATATTTTGTTAGGGCTGGAATGCGATGTTGAGGCAAAGTTGAAGTCCCCTTATTTGGTTCCAGAAGTGCTAGGTGGATGTCTAAAATTTGGAATATTTTACAGCATGTACATTAGTGAATATTTAATGTTAGCTTAAGCTTCAAGAAAAAGTTTTTTCTTGTTGCTTAAAAGTAAAATAGGGACCTAATAGTTAGGTGCCTTGGAATAAACACGAATATTTTTATTTATAAAGGTATCATAATTTAATTTGAATAAGTAATGGTATGCAAGATTCTTTATATGCATTTATGTGCGAGAAAACAAGACGTTTGGGAATCATGATTCAAAATCTGTTTCAGTTTAACCTATATCTGAAAAGAATTGATTTTATTCTCACAATGCATTAAGAATATTCATATAAATAGTCATGCAAAAACTCCAAAATAATAACAACAAACCTGGATTATGGGCTTCTGAGTGGTTGTGCTGTTGTGATAATATTCAATGTAACTATGTCACTGCATTGTGTGTAATCCAACTAACCTAGCTTTTGACACTAGCTATCTACCCACGAAACCAATAGTCCAGAATCCCTGCAAAACTGAAATGATAGTGAAGGAAGACCTGGCATGTCAATTGCCCATATTGAAAATAAGTTTTTTAGGCCCACAGCTCAATTTGAATCGTGAGAACTGAGAGATAGCTGCTAGAAGAACAAAAAGATCAATTAACTGTTTTAATATAAACTTGTCTTGTCTTGTGTACATTGCTTAGGGCAGGTGGTTGGTTGATGTATTAAAAGAAGCACTGATAGGTACTTAAGAATTAGTTAAGATGGTTCAGAGAAGAACGAAGAGTGTGTCCAAGGCATCAGAGAGAGGTTAATGAAAGACCTATGTCATCAAAATTTTAAGGCACACAGTTCCCAGTCTGAAGTGCGTCGCTATGCACTGTCCACCCCCTCTGACGTTCCCCCGTCCTACAGGCTGGCCGGTGGTCGGCACTGGTGGTCGGCATCCTGTATGGCTCCAAGCACTACAACACGCTGTCGGCCCGCGAGGTGGAGCTGCGAGAGATCGAGGCCAAACAGAAGGTCATCCGCGACGCCCAGCTGGCCAAGGAGCGCAAGGCGCTGGACCGCGGTACGTCTCTAGTCACAGATAATACGGGCGAGGGTCGAGGGGAAATCCCAGGGGGCTTATTGCATTGCCGGAATCGTAGTGTGTGAGGTGCTCCGTGCTTCATTGAGGAACGCAGATATAAGAATTGATATGATGCTTTTATTTTGAAGGAAGCGTTGCCTAGCTTTAAGAAAATGATTGTTCGTGGAACGTTATTTTCAAGTTTTATTTCTACTAAATATATTTGGCAACTTTTTCCAGGGGTATATTTTTTAAAATATGTTTGACAAGGTAACGTCTCGCCTCACAAAGACATTGATCCTGACATAGTGTCCCTCGTTTTTCAGAGCAAATGCTGTACCTGGCGAAGGAGACCGGCACGCCCATTCCGGCCGACTTCGACAAAATGTATCCTGTATCGAGCTGAAGCCGCCCCATCGCCCGCAATATACTGTCCCCGTGTGCGTGATTGTAGCTGTTGTACATCGCCGGCCAATATAATATGAAACGTGTATTTTAACTTATTATTGTAGCTCTCCAATGAAGGCATGATGTTCGACCTACGGGAGTAACTGGTCTCTTTGATTGTCGATATGGTTGAAACGCCGAAGGCATCTGTCCCCAGTGCGTTGGCTGTTGTTTCTTAGTCGTCGTGGCCTGGAGTATATTTGTGACAGGTCGTTGGCGACAGAACAACACACTGATATCGGTAACAAAGGCGCGTGGTTGGTGCGATCGTCACCTGACGCGGTCCCGTTCGGCGAGACCTCGGTAGTGCCAGATGGTCAATCACTCAGACATGAATGCTCCAATTCAGGTCTGGATTTTCATGCGGACAAATGCAACAGGCTTTTCATATGTCGCCGTTCTATGGATTGTCATTGTCACTCGGCTATCTAAATATCAGGTCATATATAACTTAAAATATCATTTTGGCCAAACAAATTAACCGTAACTGACATGCTCTGACCTTCCATTCGCATGTCTTTCAGAAACAGGCCACGTCAGCACTCAACAGCGTCACAAAAGTCAAATTGTGACGTCAAAAACACCAACACCGCCGTCACAATATCACAGCAACTGATAGTGCTCCTGGCTAAATAAGTTAGATACTCTACGGCGGAGCCTGGTCATCAGCGGACCCTGCTGGCGCCAGTCGCTCACACTCACGCATACGCCACTGCCGTCCCGTGGACCGCGATATCCGGGATATCCGATATCCGATAGCGATATCGGAGGTCCGGGAAGCCGCCAGTTGGGGACAACCAGCGTCAAATGGCATACAACTCAATCCACACTCATCCCAACACGTCACTCCGTATAAAACTCGCTCTCTCTCGCGGTCTCTCGCGTCATAAGCAGCGGCGATGCGGCGCCCGTGACAGCCGGACGCCCCGGCAGCGCCCGGGAAAATGTCTTCTGTACACTTGATCATCGCTCAAGCGCATGAAGCTATGGGCAGGCAGCCCTGGTCCGCGTCCGGCCCTCGGCAGTTCGGTGGTCCTTGGCCGGCCTGGGGAAGGACAGTTCAGAGCGGCGGCCTCAGGAATCTCACTCGTCACTCGGGCTGGAGTTAATCCAGAGGGCGCGCACGAAGGCGCCGGGACTCTGCGGCTGAGCGCCGTCCCTTCAACTGCAGAGGGCAGTAGCGGCGCTCGCTCACGTTACACGTCAGTCAGTGGTTCCATAGTTTCACCGGTGCGCCTGCTCACGCCACCGACTCGTTCTGTGTCTTCAGCACGTTGTCCAGCTGATCCTCCAGCTCACGGATACGCTGCTCCTTGATGTTCAGCATGTTCTTCAGCTGTTTGATCTCCTCGGCCTGTTCGGCGTACCGTTTCCGCAGCTGGAACGGACATGAGGCGAGATAAGGCAACGGGATATTGTCAGCGGGGCCTTTAGCCCTTACCTTCAGCAAAGACGTCTGCTGGTGAACTGGATTGTATTGGCGTCAGATACAGGACTTTATATACGATGAAACACACGTGTACGAAACTGGGACGCTGACCGACACGCGTGAATGTAGGACGCAGGGCGGCCGGCTGGGCACTGCAAAGCGCAGCGTCAATCAACTTTATTATTGAACATGCGTGCGGGCCGGGCCGCCCGTCCGTCACACGATGAGCGTGGCGAATAGGATTTTGCAAGGTTTCAATTAGTGTAAACTGTGAGGGTGCAGGATGGAGCAAGGCTGTGCGACATTATCTCACCCTCCCCGGGAGCCGACAATAGGAGGCGTCAACGAACACTTGCAACAAGACATGATAGTATGATGCACAGGTATGCATTGTTGGAGATCGACATCGAAAGCAGCATCAGGTAGAGATCCCATCGGTTCGCCAGGCATCATGGTGTGCAGCAGAAATATTCTCGGACGCCGTAGAATGTAGATGGACCGTAGGTACTCGTATGTGCGCCTCTGGAGTGGCCAGCGCTTGGTGCTGGAGTACAGCGGCGGCCGGCTGGTATCCTGATATCGCCCGAGATGGTGATAGTGAGGTCACCAGAGAGGTGACGGCGACGTCAGGTGATGTTGTAGCCGGATGCCTGCAGGAAGGCGCTGCCACGAGTGTGGTGACGTGGCGCAGAGAGTTCAGTCCACCGGTACACCGTGCCGTGTTGATGAGGCGGGTGTGTAGACGGCGTCGGCGTTAGAAGACTGCTGCTTGATGTGGCTGGAGAACCAACAGGGGAATCTCGATGGCAGGAACAGACGGATGTCGACCAGTGCAGGTCTTCGCGGCTGGACTGGGCCCTTGTCCAGATGGATACGCGAAGATGGAAACCTGTGACCATAACTGACACATCGTTGTGCAAAGCGGCTGACAACCTATATTGTGACTCGAGAGGTGTTGAGATAAATGGTTAGGTAGTGAAATGTTGGGAACTTGGAAGAAGTGGTAATGCCTGTATCCGACTTTTTACGTTTGGACAAATCTACAAACTATAGTGAAGCAAAATATACAAGAACAATTGGCCAGCGATACAAGTACATACGATTTACAAGTAATACAAGGATACACATTTGACAAGCAAGACAAGTACATACCATCATATTTGCATATAGGTATGTGGACGGCACTTGGCCGTGTCTTCTTTATGAACCATGGTGTGTGACGTTCAAGTGACAATAAGCATCATGTGACACAAGCAACCAAAATGTACAATCAAAAACGTGAGGCTTAGCAGAGAGCAAAAAATTTTGGCCTCACCATGTTGCACTTCCGCTTACATGATAATGTGAAGATCCTCGAAGTTGTAGATGTATCGGGGCGCCGGCCGGGCGTGGCACGGTCGCACTGTGGTACATTGTATATAATCAGGCTTGAAGAGCCTGGCGGAAGCGAAACATGATAACGGGGAAGTTTGAAAAAGTGAACGTTTAAAAAGAGTTATTACGAAAGAGAGGGTAAAAATACCAGCCAGAATGGCTAAAAACGAGATAACGTAGTTTTTAATAGATGTGCCAATGGAGGTTGTGGTCATAGAAATAGAGTCGAAAAGACCACGGGAGTGTGTAAGAGCTGTGTGTTGAACAGAGGTTTCATTACGTTGCGTAAGGTTCAAGATGGGAGCATCTAAACAAAAAGAAATGGGTTCACAGCTTTTTATTGAACGATGAGAAGACAAATTCTCTCTTTGTGGCATTGTTGGGAAGTAATAAATTCGATGGTAATGAGGGAGTCTTCAGTAGAGTAACGGCTCTAGTGGATAGCGGGATAGCGTTGAAGGAAACGGATGCGGATCCTGACGAACAAAGGGATTTGGCACGTAGGACGATTTTTGCAGCCAACGGACATGAGTGACATCCGTCGACCGATACTACGGATTCTATCCTAGGACATATTTTGGATGTGGAGAGGGATAGGTACGTATCGTTGGTGGTGAAAGGGGCGCTAATATGCAAATAATTTTGATTTACTTACTCGGTTACCTTTCTGTTGGCGGGTACAATCAGAGGCAGCGTCCGATGTCGTTCTCTTTGGTGCCACAAGAATGAGCAGCACGTATTTGTGATCAAAAGTATGAATTGGGTGGGAGGGGGGAATATAAAGTTTCCTACCGAGCCATTATCGTTATCGTTCGGGTATGTAGTAGTTAAGTATAATAGCAAGGCTTATGCTTTTGGCGGAGTCCGGTAGGTAGTTATTTGGTTATGTATGTTCATTGATCCAAAATCAGACGAGGTGCATAATTGTACCCACAATCTCGAAGATTGGTATCTGTGGACAGAACAAGGCTGAAGTGTCAAGTAACGCCATAAGGAGCTAGATGTCAAAATAATGTCACAAAAAATGCGAAGAACATTGTCACACAAAACACCATATTCAAGACATTGCATGTCATTTCATGTCATTTCATTGCATGTCTTTGCATTGCAATTCTTAACTATACTTATAACTAAAGGGATATATACAAAAGGGAAGCGCTTCCATATGTACAGGTACCTACAACAATCTTTGTCCTTGGCTATTCTTGAGCTCTATCTGAGACTTTCTCTCTTTCTCTCTTACGGTACCGGAGCTCTATTATATATTCTTTCTCAATTCTCACTTTTTTCAGCACAAGGACGAGAGCTCTTTTTCGATGTAACTGGCAGTTACTTTACTGTCCATATCTTGGAGGTGCCCGTAAGTTGGCTCTTGGCCTTAAATTATAATGCGGTGGAGCTTGTTCCATCGCTGGTCCTTGGGCATTGTAAATTTCCTCCATTTCTGCCAATTCAAACCGTCGCTGCGGCGGCATTCTATCTCGGACCTCTCTCTGTTCCTGTGGTCTCTCGGGTTGAGCGTCTGCATGGGTCCCTGGGTCGGCCAGCAGCGTAATGGGAGGGTTCTCGCCAGTATTGCTGCCTGGGGTAGCTTCGCCTACGGAACGTGTAGCAGATTCACCACTGTGAGCCACAGGAGGTTTCTGAGCATTGAAGGGGTTGTCCTCGGTGAATTTTTTTAATCGGTTGACGTGCACGAGTTGCACGTCACCGGGATTTTCCAGATGCTGGATGCGTGCATTGACGGGACTAGTCAAATGCAGCACTCTGTATGGACCTTTGTTTAACTTTTGAAGCTTGCGGGTGAGTCCAGGTTTGAATTGAGGATTGTGAAGGTACACCAGCATGCCTTCATGGATGGACGGAGGATTGGATTGGGTTGGATGGGATCGTTCTTGCGCCAAGATGGCGGCCTCATTGTTGTCGCGCACCACTTCATGAAGTGCCGACAAATGTTTATGGAGCAAGTCACGGTAGGAATCAATGGAAGCAAAAGGATCAAAGGGCAGTTGAGCATCGACGTCCAATGGAAGAAGTACATCACGACCAGTGAATATCTGAGCGGGAGTTTCACCGGTAGAACGGTTGATGGAAGACCGAATGGCTAAAAGAGCCATGGGCAGAACTTCGTCCCAATTCTTTTGGGATGGATCGACGAAATGAGATAAGATATTTGCTATAGTAGCATGCAGTCGTTCCACACGGCCGTTGGCCTGTGGATGACGAGGAGATGAAAGGATGCGTTTGACACCCAGAAGCTTACAAATGGATTGCATGAGTTTTGAAGTGAAATTGGATCCACGATCACTAAGAAGAATTTTACTGATGCCGTACCTTGAAATGATGTTTTCAACAAATGCTTTTGCGACAGCTTCGGTCGTGGTTTCGGCTAAAGGAATGGCTTCCGGAAATCGACTAAAATGATCAATCCAGCTAAGGTAATGGGTGTTTCCACGATAGGAAGTTTTGAGGGGACCTACAATGTCAAAAGACGAAATATGCATTGGATATGCTGGTGTGAGCGTTCGTTGTAGTGGTGCTTTTTTGATGGTTTTGTGAGCGTTGCGTTCCATACACTGCTGACATGAGTTGACGTATTTCTGTACGTCTGTGTACATGTGTTTCCAGAAGAACAACAAACGAATTTTTTGAACAGTTTTGTCCAACTTGAGGTGACCAGACCAGAGAGTATCATGATATTGTTGTACGATTGTCTTTTTCATTGGTTCTGGTACTACAAGTTGATCGACGAAAGGACGGGTCTTGCTATTTTGAGATGAGACATGATAAAGCAAGCCGTCTGAGCTGAGGAAGTAATTTGACAATGGCTCATGAAGCTGTAAATCCATGCGAGCAGTTGAATGGCCAGATAACTGGTTGATAATGGGAATGAGGTTGGGGTCTTTTCGTTGCTCGGCTTTTATCTTTTCTCTTGTCCAACCTTCATGTTCAAACGAAGTGGCAGAAACAAACCCTAGGAAAGTATCCTTTGACTGGGAATCAATTTTAACGCGAGACAGAACGTCAGGTTTCACGTTCAGACGACCAGGTAAGTAAGTAACATCAAAGTCATAACCGGAAAGTTTGAGTGACCATCTGGTCAGACGGCCACCTGGATTGGTAGCTTTGAACACACCTCGTAGAGGGAGGTGGTCGGTGATGACATGTGTAAAATGACCTACAAGGTAACAACGAAGGCTGTCAAATGCCCAATAGATGGCTAAACATTCTTTTTCAGTAGTTGAATAATTTCGTTCTGCTTTGTTCAGCTGTCGGCTGATGAATGCTACGGGATGAAGTTCTTCACCGTGCTGTTGTTCCAAAACAGCGGAGATCGCAAAATCACTAGCATCAGTAGACAAGTAGAAATCTTTTGTAAAATCTGGAAACCTAAGAACTGGGTAATGAACTAAAGCATCTTTGATGGATTGGAATCCATTTTCACATTCTTCAGACCATATAAATTCAACATCTTTCTTTGTCAGAGCGATCAGGGGCGCAGCTAATTGAGACATTCGCGGGATGTGACGGCGGTAGTAGTTCGCGAATCCTATAAATGAACGAATTTCTTTGACTGAACTTGGTCTGGGGAAGTCTCGAATCGCTTGAATTTTGGATGGGTCTGGACGTACGCCATGCTCATCCACAATGTGACCTAGATATTTAATCTGACGTTGCATGAAAGAACACTTGGATGGACGCAGTACGAATCTAGTTTCTTCTAGTCGGGTGAGAACTCTATCAAGCTTTTCTAAATGGTCATCGTAATTCTTACTGGCGATCAGAATGTCATCGACGTAAAGAAATGCATCGATACCTTGTAAACCAGAGAGAGCAATTTGCAACGCACGATTCAGTGCGGCGGAAGCTGATTTCAATCCAAAAGGTACAGAGGCATATTGGAAATGCTGGTTGTTAGCTGTGAATGCGGTATATGGTCTCGACGACTTCGAGAGAGGGACTTGGTGAAATGAGCTAAGCAAATCCAGTGTCGAGAAAACAGTACAACCAGAAAGTTGATCAATCGCATCCGAAGCAAATGAGTTGGGATACCTATCATCTTTGATCTTTTCGTTGAGAACACGGAGATCAGAAACAAGGCGGTAACCACCTGATGACTTTTTGACTAAAATGATGGGTGCATTGTACGGTGAAACAGCGGGTTCTATGATACCACTAGCAAGTAGTTTGTCGATTTCAGACTTAACTATATCGCGATGGGCAAACGGGAGTCGATACGGGTTTTTGTACGCAGGGGTTGGATCTGAGAGTTCAATGTGATGTTCATACACATTTGTGATTTTGATATCATCTAACGTATTACCAAACGTACCGACATGTTTCATGAGCATATCGCGCAGTTGCGATCGGTATGGCTCTGGGATGTGATCGAGCTGAAAGTCGTTTGGAGACACTTTGTCACCTTTGTCAGGTTGAGTGGATGCTGAATAAGTTTGTCCTGACGAGTTTTCATCGTTCCTGTCAGTTTCTGATTTGGGAGCAGCAGGGTTGAGCTGCGCTATGCGCAAGTTCTTCCGAAGTAGAATTGGACGAGCCGTAACGTTTGCTACACGAACTAAAACGTACGACTTGGTCAAGAACGCTATTGAGCGAGCGACCTGTATACCTGCCGTTGATTGATCGACGTGACCCTGGATGAAGTATGGGGCCTCAGAGGGTACCAAGTAGCGCGGTAATTTCATTTGAACGAACATTTCTGAAAAGGCTGGAATTTCGACTGATCTGTACAAAAATAAAGGGTGATTTTTCCCTTCATCGATAGTGAAAGCATCGTTTTCGTCGTAAGAGATCAACGGGTTATCAATGTCGCGCGGTGAGTCAGTGGTGCCAAGTAAGAAGCGGACACGTTTTCGTCGCCTTGGGCTGAGCCGTTGCGGCGTCTGTCGCTGGGTGGATGTTGCGGCGCTAGGCTGCAGGAAGGACACACTTTTTGTGTCCGGATTGAACAGTAGCTGGTGGCGGATGATGAAATCTATGCCGAGAATGATGTCGCAACCGAAGGAAAGTGACTTATCGGTCACATAAACAGTATGCTGAATAGTACGGTCAGACACGTGGATGGGTATTTGACAATGACCTAAAATCTGAATTGGGGTACCGGTAACTCCTAAAATAGATAGTGATGACTTTTCAAGTGGACTCGAAATACTGCACGATTGAAAGAACTTGTTGCTAATGAGGCAGATACTGGATCCGGTGTCATATAAGGCTGAACCTGTTTGGTCCGTCACAGAGATTTCCAAGATTGGAGGACGAGGGCGCGTGCCTGAGTCATCAGCTGCCACGCTCGCGAACGCTGTAGTCCCATTTAGCGTCGCGAGCGGTTGCCGTTTGGGGATGGACTCCGTCGGGAGTGACTCGATCCCCTCCGATCCGGAGATCGGGATTGCGACCTTGAATAAGATCGGTGCCGTCGGTCCCGAGAGTGAGACCTTGATGAGCGGCGATAACGATCATAGCGGTCCCTCGATGAGTGACAGTGATCTGAACAGCATTGTTGGTGCTGTGAATACGAGGGAGGACGATAGGAAGAATGACTTTGGCGAGCTGGGTATGCGTTTCGCTGGTGAGTATATGACGGTGGCGTTGAATAGCCACGACCACGATTGGGAAACGACCCACGCTGGCGAAAGTTTCGCCGGAAGGGCTGTCGTCCTCTCCCACGCTGAGGGGTTTGGGAGGCGGCGAGCTCGAGGCTGGCCACACGGTGCTGCAACTGCTGAACCACGTCCGAGTTTAACTCCGCGGCCGACACAGAATGTGTAGCAGATGTGTCCGAAGATGGAAGGAACACACAATTTAATTCTTGGGTTCTTGCCAAAGCTATGGCGGCATCAAAATCGGATGGGTTTTGTGGCAAGACCAGCTGACGTAGGCTTGGTTTTAAGCCTTTGACGAAAGCTGCTGCTGCGGTTCGGTTTTTTAGCTGTTTGGTTTCGGGGGTAGCGTCCCATTCGGTCAAACATTTGGTTTTGTTTCTGAGTCGGAATGCATACGCATCGACTGACTCTTGCGGATGTTGTGTGCAAGTCATTAGATCTTGTAAACGGGATGATACGGGGCGATCAGAGTTGATCGCGGATGTCAGGCGAGTAGCGAATTCTTCAAAGGTGGGAGCATGATTCAAGTCATGACGGTTTCGGACCAGTTCGGCCATTTTACTGTCCAGTTTTGTTTTAGCTACTTTGAGGGTGACGCTGTCGGGCCAGGAACCCATGGTTTTAGCGTCACGGACTTCTTGCAAAAAATCTTGAATCGGGAATGAACCGTCATAAATTGGTATGAATGTCGAAATTTGGTGAATGTTAAGGCTAGAAACCGCTGGGGTACGATCGACCGACATGGTGGAACCAGAGTGAGAGAGAGATCCTTTAAGTATTAAACCAAATATGAGAAGAGAGATTTCTATACGACAAAAATAACAGAATTTAAGACCTTTCTACCTAAAAAAAAAAAATAACTATACACAACGGGACATGGGTCCGGGTTGGGGGGGGGGGTAATAGATACCCCAGCCACCGCTGCCACCAAATGTCAGCGGGGCCTTTAGCCCTTACCTTCAGCAAAGACGTCTGCTGGTGAACTGGATTGTATTGGCGTCAGATACAGGACTTTATATACGATGAAACACACGTGTACGAAACTGGGACGCTGACCGACACGCGTGAATGTAGGACGCAGGGCGGCCGGCTGGGCACTGCAAAGCGCAGCGTCAATCAACTTTATTATTGAACATGCGTGCGGGCCGGGCCGCCCGTCCGTCACACGATGAGCGTGGCGAATAGGATTTTGCAAGGTTTCAATTAGTGTAAACTGTGAGGGTGCAGGATGGAGCAAGGCTGTGCGACAATATGGGATGCGGCAGCATCGAAGTTGCTGACGATCGCACTTCACAAATATCCAAAAAGAACGAACCCAAAGCTATTAAATATAGGTATATGTTTAAAATGTGACTTAAATTAAGTTGAAATTTAAAAACATGACCTTAGAGCCAAGCAAGCCATCGCCTGAATCTCGTGCCAGGTGCGAATAATAGAAGCGAGTAATCGTCATACCGGTCAAAAATATGCTCTCGCTGAGCTCATTCCAAAATATTATAGTCGTTCTCCGAACTGTCTCCGACCTCTCCGGACACTGACCTCGAGCTCTGCCTTGTGCGGCAGCTCCCTGGCCCCGTTGACGGGCGCGCTGCGCTGTTGCTGCTGCTCCTGTCTGACGGCCGGTGCGGCGGTGGGCTGCGGAGCTCCGCCGGAGCCGAACGAGGCGCGGCGCGGCTCCTTCTGATCGCACACACCGTTCACAGGCTTCAGCGGCATCGACTTGTGGCCAGAGTCGGGGCCGGGCGACTGCGGCGCCGGACTGGACGGCTCCTGGGGGCGCCGAGGGTGGCCATCAGGTCAGGCCATTGCTGTCAGATGGAGATCAAATAGGTCCAGGTGGAACGCCTGTAGAAAGATGGTCATGAACAGAGACACTGATCCCGTAGGATAAGACTACTCGATCTAAATATTGCTCGTAAGCCGTCAAAATTGCAACAGATGTTCTTGGAACACCGGTCTGCCGGCTGGCTGTGATGAGCTCGTCTGTAGAAGTGTTATTTCGTACCTGTTCGGTCCACATCTGTTGGATCTGCTGGAACTTTGACGTGGCCTTGTTTGCTTCGTTCAGCCGCTCCTGTAATGTAGCCCACATGGTTTACGTATACTACGTCACATTGAGAAAATAATGACAACTCATCGCTGAAGGCTTAAGCCGGAAGGGCAGCGGCACATCGGAAATGGCGAAGGTAATTAATTTGCTTCACACTCACACACACCCCGAAAGTGCAACTGATTTGTGGCCATTAGCTGATATGAATAATGATCCTGTGGCCAAATTATCTCCCCATGGCGCGCCGAATAACCCAGCCTCTGCGGTCGGCCATAATTTCTGACATGGCGCCGGTCGCGGCTCTCACTAATGAAGCTCGGAATCCTGCCGATAATGATCCACTGGCTCTGTTATAGGTCAGATAGCCGGGCCGAGAGGCGAAGCGGGACGGTCCGATAGAACGTTCAATACCGGTCGATAGTCAGCTAAATTTATTTATCGGATATTTGATCGCTAGGTTATCTGTAGTGTTTCACACATTTTATCCGTTTTCCTGCTTTTCTAATTGAAGCACTGAAAAGGGAAGACACTGAGCCGAACACAAATAACTACCTACAAATACATAAATAAGTCCAGTCAAATATCCCACACAACTCGTTCGGTGATGAACGTAAGAGTACCTGTAACCCCACCGTCACCATACAGCAACAGACAAGGACGTCTCACTTCGCCCATGGCGAACATAAAACCACCCGTGAATGCCCACAACCGAGTGTATTCCACCCTCAATCATGCCATCGGTCGGGGTTAGTCCGTCACCCGTCAGTCGCGTCAGTCTCAGCAGAGTAAACCAATGACGTCATTAGTCCGGGTCGGCAGCGCTCTGTCGTCGTCAGTCGCACCTGTCTCGGTCGAGGGGTCGGTCGGGCCCGGTCTGGTTGCTGGGACCTCTCGTCTCTCTCGGGTGGAGTCATCTCGTCCCGCTCGGGTCGGGCCTTCTGGTCTCGCTCGTGTCGGGCCTTCTCGTTTCTCTCGGGTCGGGTCTTCTCGATCGGGTCATGTCGTTCCCGCTCGGGCGGGGTGCTCTCGTCCGGGTCAGTGTCGTCGTCGGCCGTGTCGCCCGGTTCGTCGGAGGAGTCGGCAGAGACCACGCCGCTGTCGTCGGCCGGCTCCTGGGTCGGGTCGGGGCAGCGGTGAGCGGGCGGGGTGAGCGATACATGCAGTGAACAGGGCAGTGTCTGGTGAGGGCAATAGATAGGTGAGGAAGACACGGGGTGAGAAGTGAAGGGTGTGCATTGGTGTGAGCATTGAGCGGCTGAGTGCGCTACGTCTGTGATTTTACGGCAGTGTGGTGTACAGGAAAACAGACGCAATTAGAATGGCTTTGAAAATGTCCCACCATTCAAAGAACAAATGATTAAGATGAAGAAACTCTGCAAGAGGAATCAAATCTCCACTCACCCGTGCAACTTGAACTATTTTATTATTATCTTTAAGTGCCGGCAAATCGATAATTTGTTCTTAATAATGAGTTTGATAGCACCAATGAAGAGCAGAAATAATATATGTTGATCGACGATTTTTGTCGTGTGCAAGAGGCTTCAGAGCCAAACCATTCTCAAGGCAACATTTCATAGCATTTGGGTGCCGCCGAGACCCTACACAGTGACTGCTCGGCACCCGTGGGCTGTTACGTCCCCTGACACCCTACAGTGATTACCCGGCGGGCGTCGGAGGCTCGCAGGATCTGCGCGCGGGCCTGACGCTCCAGCAGCTCGATTATCTCCTTGATTTTGCCCGACTTCTCGCTGGTGGCGAGGTCGGAACTCCAGCGACTGAGGTCCCGCTCGGAGACAGATTTGGAGAGGCGCGGACGGTGGGACAGAGCGGCGCTCGAGGAGGAACGGGAGGATTTCGGCCGCGGGGACACGTTCTCTTTGTTGGTTTTGTTGTTTTTATCCTGTAACGCCGTCGGCATGTGTTAGTAAATGTCGGTTAGGCGCCGCACAGACGGAGCACGCGGAGTCAAAGTCGGGGGCTGGTCGTCAGGGGTCCAGGCTTTTTCACATAGCGATCTGGGCAGACAAGCAGAAAGCTTTACAAACATCCCCGAGCAAAAACAAGCTCAAAATGAACATATTGCAGAAATCTTTTAACCCCAACAAGCACTAAAAAGCAACAAAATGATTTGGTCGCGATGTCAGTCAGCTTCGTCCAGCCTGGAAACAGCAGCTAAAGCTCGGGTATCTACATAGCCCAAATAAGCCAGCCCAGGGTTCCCGCAGCACGTCCCCTGTGACCTGTCACTCGTCCTCTGCGACCACTCACCCGCGCCGCCGGCTCGCGGCTGACCTGCTGCGGCCGGTAGTCGGGCCGTGACGCCGTGCTGATGAAGGCGAACTTGCGGTCGGTGTTCCTGTCGCCCGTCTGAATACCGTCCTGGGTGCGGTTCACGCTCGCCGGCTTGTTGGTGCGCACAGCCACCCCGGGCAGCACGCCGACTGGGGTCACATGAGGTCACAGCGGGTCAGACGGGGTCACAGTGGATCACACGAGTCACAGCGGGTCAGACAAGGTCACACAGGTAGTGATCGTCCACCCCGGCTGACAGTGACACTGGTGACGCTAAACTGAGCGCTGGGCGCGGCCGGTCCATGGCCATTGGCTGATAGTCACCCGATACCGGCGTGTGTAATGTGTGGGCACGGACCCTCATTAACCAGGCCGGATTGAGATAAGAGTCGGCACATACACCGATGGCTGTGAGGTGTGCCATAAAACCGATGCGGGTCGGCGAAATGTCACAGATCAATGAAACCCACGGTAAAACAGCGTGACCTACCTCATCGTTGTTGTTATTATTGTTTCTTTTTTTCCAAAGCGATATAAAACATTCGTACTGCTTTAGAGCATATGACCCACTACTTGGATAAGTTTCACACTCATGAGTAGAGTCAGCTATTAATTAGCATAATTCCCACGAAACACGCCATCAACCGCTCGTTCCAGTTGAGTTGTGTAATGTGTATTGTGCATTCCTCGGCGTACTGACCTGTGCGCAGCGACATCAGCACCGGAGGTTTGTTGTGTCCGGCGATCCACTCCTCAGCTGTCATGGCCGGGGTGGGAGCGGCGGTGTCCGGATAAATGTCCTCCTGGAACTGGTCACTCTGTGGGGCAGAGAGGACACCACACTGTCAGTAGTGTCCGGGTAAATGTCCTCCTGGAACTGGTCACTCTGTGGGGCAGAGAGGACACCACACTGTCAGTAGTGTCCGGGTAAATGTCCTCCTGGAACTGGTCACTCTGTGGGGCAGAGAGGACACCACACTGTCAGTAGTGTCCGGGTAAATGTCCTCCTGGAACTGGTCACTCTGTGGGGCAGACTAGAGGACACACTGTCAGTAGTGTCCGGGTAAATGTCCTGGAATTACTGGTCGCTCTGTGGGGAGAGGACACATTGTCAGTAGGGGCCTGGGTCTGCATCTCTCTGCTACAACGATAGATGTACTGCAACGCTAGGCTGGCAAATGCACCGTACTACCAATCTAGAACACTTTGAACCACATCCCATCGTCACCTTGCGCGGCACAATCATGGAGAGCGGCTCGCAGATGTCTTTGGTGGCGTGCAGCTTGAAGAACCGGTAGATCTCACAGCGGCGCGTGTCCACGGCTCGTTTGGTGAGCACGCCCAGCCCGCGCTGCGGCGAGCCGGAGATGTACTGGTTCAGGTAGTGGCACCACGGCGACTCGTCCACGATCTCGTAGTAGCGGATGTTGCCGTCACCCTGGGAATGAAACAGATGAACGTTGTGAGATGAGAAACAGACTAAAAGGAACAGTGTATAAATATGTTCGAACTTCGAAGAAGCCTCAAGATGAAAGACACAATAGGTAAGAAACGACGGCACTAAATCTTGACGGCACAAAACGACGGCACTAAATATGAGCGAATCGTATCCTTAAAGGGACCCTCCCACCTTAACATTAGATTTGAGTTGAGATAGCCAAAATGGGGTCCCTGGCTCACAATTACCGGTTTCGGCACTCACAACATCGAGAAATGCCTTAAATCGGAAATATTGAATTTCAAAATTGCAGCATTTTGATTCAAGAGGGGCTAATGCTTAGGAATACCCCTCTGAATGTGTGACGTCAGCGCAGATATCTAACGACTTTTAAATGTTTGACTAAAACGTTTTGTAGCACGCGGTGGTATATGCTATTTGCGCGCAACATCTGCCGCAAACGCCGCACTTCTAAAATAAAGTCGCTAGAAACAGCCGAGATCCCAAAAAAGTAAACAAAAGTAAAAGTCTAATATCTTGAAAACCGGTGAGTATTTTTCGGTGAAATTTGGTAGATATTCGTTTTTGCTCTTTCTGAACCGAGCGACATCACTTTCATGCCAATTCATAAACTTTTTTGAAGGTGGGAGGGTCCCTTTAATAAATGAGGCCCTGTATAAGTAACCATAACCTCAATTTAACGTTATCAGCTGATACATCCGAAATAGTCAATGTGGTTCACCATCTACGCGTGTATATGACGAGCACAGTGACACTAAGGCGGAGATCTTTCACTGCCTTAGTCGGTGGCGCCCCCTGCTATGCTATATCACACCTCACCTTTCCGGCGAGGAAGAGCACCCTTGTGTCGGGGTCGTAGAACGGGTACAGAATCCCCGACGACGAGTCGATGTTCTCTCTGCGCAGCGGCTCGTCCAGGCGCCGCTCGTCCCAGACGGCATACTGCCGGTCGGAGAACTTTGAGAAGCCGGTGGTGAGCAGACGTCCAGAGTCGCCCAGGTACTGCACCTTGCACGCCTTGGCGCCCTCGTGACACTGGCCCTCCTGTCAACGGAGAGGGGACGGGCTGTTAAGACAGTGGTGGGAGGGACGCCTTCGTGACACAGACACAACCTTTGGCGCCTCCGTGACACAGAACACCCTATACACGGACAGGGGACGGGGAGCTTCGAAATGGGACGGGCTTTAGAACCGGACGGGTGGTTCACGAAGAGTAAGTGCGCAGAATGAGACACAACTTCAGATATCGGAAGGCAATGAGTACGACGGTGAACAGTCTAAGCGGCATAAAGACATTGGAGCATGACATTAAACCGTATTTGACGCACTGGTTGTATTGACTCATTGCTGCCCGTTTTAGTTTGCAATGAACGAAGTGGAGCACAGGTGTACATATTTGCGGCCAATTTACCGAGTCAGCAGGGTCAGGGTCGAGTGGAGGGGACCGTGGTAATGTGGCCTACTCACGCAGTTCGAGTCATATACTGAATGTGACAGAAGTCACGAACGGAGTAGGGTTTGTGGTTTGGTGCACGTATGTACTATTGTGGTCCGTCACCACTGTAATGGGTTGGGAGCAGAGGGCGTCATCAGAGGGTGTCACCGACCACCGTCACCGAAAAACGTCCGTGACGTATTGACATTCTACGGCAAGGCCAGGTTTTATTAGTTCCCGCAGCGGGAGACCGAAAGGGGGTGTAAGAATAAAGCAGGAGCAAACACAATAAACACACCGAACTTCTGTGCGATGCAGCAGTGAAGCACAACCGCGTTAACAGTCCTAAACTAGAGCGAACCAGCTCGACCCCAGTGTGACCCCACCTGACCTGTCACCCCATCTGACCTCCCTGTGACCCCGTCTGACCTCCCCGTCACCCGTCTGACCTCTCTGTCACCCGTCTGACCTCTCTGTCACCCGTCTGACCTCTCTGTCACCCGTCTGACCTCCCCGTCACCCCGCCTGACCTCTGTCACCCCACCTGACCTCCCCGTCACCCCGTTTGACCTCTGTCACCCCACCTGACCTCCCCGTCACCCCGCCTGACCTCCCCGTTTCACCGTCTGACCTGGAGGACGCGGCCGGAGCGCGGCTCGATGATCCTCAGCTTCTTGTCCTTGCAGGTGGTGGCCAGCAGCGAGCCATCCCGGTTCAGCGACATGCTGAAAATCACCTCCGGGTGGCAGTCGATGGCGTTTATCACAGAACCCTGGCTGATGTTCCATACGATTATCTGGAAAAAAAAACACGACATCGCGTTAGGATTTATGTACGTAACATAAAAAACGAGTCATTTATACAAGCACAAGAACGAAAGCGTAGCCGCAGACTTGCCACGCATTGGCCATGGAAGCGAGTTAGGTACGGCGCATCATGTCACGCTGACACTTCAGTCGAGACCTTAGTCGAGACCAGACTTGTGCCAAGGTCCCAAAAAGATCCGAGATCCAGGGTTCGCAGAGTCCAAGGTCTGGGACCTTGATGGATCCTGGACCTTGCATTGTCATTTTTGTCGCGAGACCTTGGAAACCCAGGACCTTAAAACATCCATATGCCGCGAGACCTTGGAATCCCAGGACCTTAAAACATCCATATGCCGCGAGACCTTAGAATCCCAGGACCTCAACATTTGCACATGTCGCGAGACCTTGGAATCCCAGGACATCAACATTTCATGTGACATGAGACCTTAGAAACCCAGGACCTCAACATTTCATATGCCGTAAAACCATGGAAACCCAGGGGTTAGGACCTTAAAATTTTGGTATGCTGCAAGACCCTGCAGAATGCAGACCTTCAGTACCAGTTTTATTATTTGTAATGGGATCTTAGGAGAACGGTCTGGACCTACACCACCATTTTGTTGAGGGACCTCAAGAATCCTGGAAGCTGGACCATGAGGTTTATGTTGCACATGGGCCACTAAGGACCCTGCACTAGGTTTTGTCTGTAAGCACTTCAAGTCTTCAATAAATATCTATGGTTGAGCGACCAGCTGCAAGGGGCTAGATAGCTACACAAAGAGAAAACGAACCAGACTGTGTAGACATATATAGAGCAAAATCATTGCCATGGTTGTGAGGCAGAACTGGAACAAGAGACCTGGTAGCTTTTTACATTATCAATGTTGTGGATTATGAAACTGTCAAACAGTGGACAGTGGTGGTTTGGAAAGTTCTTTTCTAATCTCACCTCACATATTTTCTGGGTTGTGATATGCCGGGCTTGAAGCTACTTGGAAGCTACCCTAAGTGCCAAACTTATTTGTTTTGCAATTCATCAAATCACCATTGAGCAATGAGCAATATAAGCAATCATTCCATGACAGTTCAACTTTTTCGTTTAGCAGGTTTTCGTCGGACAATTTTTCGTCTGCAGATTTTCGTCCGCAGACTTTCGTCTATGCATTTGTTCGTCTGTGCATTTTCAAGTCCGCGCATTATTTTCATAAGGACATTTTCCGCCTCGTCCAGACGAAAAAATGCCGGACAGAAAAATACTCAGACGAAAAATGCACCAATTTAATTCGAACAGACAAAAAAATGCGAGACGAAAAAGTCAGACGAAAATCTGCCGACGAATAACCGGCTGACGAAAAAATTGTCAGATGGAATTTTGTTCAGAGCCTTCAATCTAATGTGAATGAACAGTAAGTAAGGTTTGCGCTCGCTGATACTCTAATTCTATTGGCTTATTCCATCAGTTTTTCTGTGAGCGCTCGCGCAAACAAGACTTAAAACATATTTTACTTTTTATCCTAGGTATTATGTAACTGAATGTGCAGAAAATCGAAAGCATATACCTATCCAATTCAACTTTTCCATTTCTATGAAGCCTGTAGGTTTTTTTTCTGTTTTTTTATATTGCCTGAAAGAATACTTGAATGTCTGTCTTCAATAACTGTAAGGTGCTATCCTACATTCCTACTGATAAGGTAAGATTGAATTGAAAGGGACATGACAATACAAATTGCAAGGTACCTATTACCTACCTATATTTTTTACGAATTTGTCAGGTTAAAGAAGGAGAGATTGATATTATGATTCATTTTTAACTTGTGCTGAAGCTCCCCCTACCTATGTTGGTTAACGATAAAACCACCACAGTCCACAGGTTTGCATAGGTTCTGCCCCTTTAAATGTTGCTGGGCATCCATTGGCAGAATATTTAGAAGTAAGTCTGCTCATCAGAATGTAAGTTTGTTTAAGTTCTTGTTGTGGGACCCTGAATACTTTGGATCCTGAGATGTATTCTTGCCGTGGGACCTTGAGGACTGTGGACCCTGAACTCTGAAGTGTGTACTTGTCATGGGACCTTGGGGACTGTGGATCCTGAAATTCACACTTGTCGTGGGACCCTAGGGACTGTGGATCCTGCAATGCATTCTTGTCGTGGGACCTTGGGGACTGTTGATCCTGCAATGCATTCTTGTTGTGGGACCTTGGGGACTGTGGACCCTGCAAAGTATTCTTGCTATGGGACCTTGGAAACCTTGGATTCTAGAAATTGAATTTGTCGTGGGACCTTGGAAACCTTGGATTCTAGAAATTGAATTTGCCGTGGGACCTTGGAAACCTTGATTCTAGAAATTGAAATTGCCGTGGGACCTTGGAAACCTTGGATTCTAGAAATTGAATTTGCCGTTGGACCTTAGAAACCTTGGATTCTAAAAATTGAATTTGCCGTGGGACCTTGAGGATCCTGGATCTTGATTTTTGGTCCCGGCACAAGTCTGGTCGAGACACATGTAAATGGCAGTCGCTCATACATCGCTATCTGCATAACTGGTTGACAGCGAGCGACCGTTCTACTACATACTATTAGCATACGGACTTACGGAGAACACCTTTAGATTTAAAAGTCAGCTAGAGCGCTAGAGCACCACCGTCTCATGCTAATGCTGCATGGTCATCAACTGACAGTGGGACCAGTCATGTTGAATGCGGATGACTTATCTCGAAATATCATATCATGGTAAGGCAAATGAAATATTTACGCCAACAAATACAAGTGTCTGATGCGCGCATCTTAAAAAGGTGGTATTTGCCAAATTATTCAACCAGAAGTTTTAACACCTGCTCATTCCAGAAACAGCATGTTAACACGCTGATGGCCTAAGAGATTTCACGTTAGCAATACCGCTATCAATTGTAAACAATAATCATGACAGATAGCCGTGAACCGTCTCCACACCCGGCCGATCGCCACTCAGCGCCCGACTGAGGCCGCCAGTAGCTGGGGCGACTGGGGGCAAGGTCCGGCCCGGCGGCCGGCACAGCGGACACTGAGTGCAAACACAGCTGCCACGCTCGGCACAGGCCGGTGTGGAGGGGCGGGTGACGGAACCATGTCGGGCAACGCATTACTCAGTGGCAGATGATGACGATGCGGTATAGGACGCGAAGCAGTTTGGCCCTACTCAGTGGCAGGAGATAGTGCAGTGACACAGGCCGGGAGATGGATACGAATATGATGCCAATTTCACGGACATGAGACGGTCATGGGACATCACGACGGTACACAGGAGACAGATAACACACTACCACACCGGCAGCATATCACCGTGAAGTCAACAAAACCGCTCACGAGCGATTACAACACGGAACAGCCGGCCATATCTGTACACGTGTTCACACTGGCCGTCACGCAGAGCCGACACGAAATCAGGTGAAATCACACCATCACCCGGGGCGGACGGCACACCTGGTCCGTGGTCACACGCCGGGCACACGCGAGCCGCCGAGCAGCTACCAATGATTGGTTAACAGATTACGGCGCAGCCGCGTCCGCAGTCTGCACATAGGGTTTAGCACGGTATGGAGAATTGGACATGTTCAGACACATGGTGGGGTCAGAGGAGGCTTGTGGATTAAGCAAAATTAAAAAGAACGGATCTGTTGCAAAGTTTGCGGTGTAAATACGCGCCAAAATCAGACCTAGCTAGAGCAATCACGACTGACTATATTTAGCCTTCGTTCCTTCCTAGCCAGTTCACGTTTACGTCTTGGCTTTACGTCAAAAACGTCTCTGGACCCGGAGTCTCTCCAAGCGAGCAGCCCTGTCGAGTCCTACATGCCTCCCCGACCCGCCACTTACCAGGTGGTCGAGTCCGGCGCTGATGAGCACGTTCTCGGCCGTCGGGTGCCAGTCGATGTAGCTGACGCGCCTCTTGTGGCCGCGCAGGTCCACCAGCCACTCGGTGAGGCTGCCGCTGAGACCGCCGTCCGGCACGTGCCACACCTTCACCTGTGGACCGTGGAGCGGCATGTTGACCGTCAGGGGCGGGGAAAGCCGTCTAGAGTCAGAGACGGTAAATAGACGGTCAGGGCTGGTGCGACGATAAATAGACGGTTAGGGGTGGTACGACAATAAATAAACGGAGAGAGGTGGTGGGGTGGTTACGAGCGAGCGAGCGCAGCGAGCGAGCGAGTTCATACTGAATTAAGGGAAAATCCTGAGTATGAGCGGCCGGCCGGCCGGCCGTGGGGACGCTCTTCAAAAGCTAATATCTTAGGAACGGGACATCCGATTGACAAGCGGTCTTCTTTACTGAATGTCACTTGGACGTAAAAGTTCTGTGGTGTGATGGCCACCATGCGTTCTTGCCAACCACCGCACGTGGCGCGTGGTAAAGTTGGACATTTTTTAAGAACCCCCAAAATTGCAACCTCAATAACGGCACAATGGTTGGGCCGATTGAATTGAAACTCGGTACACAGTTAGGTCTCAATCAGATAGTTCATCTGCATGTGTTAAGGTTGGGGTGCTACAGCACGTGCGCACGTGCAGGGGGCGCTCCCAGATCTCGAGAACGGCTGGGCCGATTGCGCTCAAATTTGGTACACGGTTGGGGACCAGTTAGTAGGGTGCCGTGCAAAAGTCAGTTTGGACCCCGCTTGCACGTGCGCACGTGCAGAATGCCGCTTCCAGATCTCAGGAACGGCTGGGCCGATTGCGTTCAAATTTGGCACACCGCTAGCGACCGGTTAGAAGGGTGCTTTGCATAAGCCCGTTGAAAGTACCCTCTCGCCGTTGCGCACGTGCAGGGCTCACTGTCTCGCTCGCTCGTTCTTCGCCCAAAAGGCGTTTTACTGGTAAATAGACGGCCAGGGGTGGTGGGACGGTAAATGGACGGTCAGGGATGGTGGGACTGGGGCTAACAAATAGACGGTCAGGGACAATGGAGAGGTGAATAGACGGTCAGGGGTGGTGGGACTGGGGTAGTAAATAGACGGCCAGGAATAACGGGGAGGTAAATAGACGGTCAGGGGTGGTAGGGTAGTAAACAGTCGGTGTCGGTCAGGGGTGGAAGGGGGTAGGGGTAAACAGACGGTCAGGGATAATGGGGAGGTAAATAGACGGTCAGGGTTAATGGGGTAGTAAATAGACGGTCAGGGTGGTAGGGTAGTAAATAGACGGTCAGGGACAATGTAGAGGTAAATAGACGGTCAGGGGTGGTGGGACTGGGGAAGGGACTAGGTGGGTGGTGGGACTAGGTGGTTAACGACTTCTTGCATCTGGATTTGGTGCTAGGTACAATATCAAGAAGCAGCAAAAAAAAAAAAAAACGTTAACGCTTCTCAATAGAAAGATGAACGATGAGCAATAAAAGCTAGCAACGACCATTGCCCATGGCACTTGATCGGTCTCATGATCATGAATACATCGTCGCTTCATTTGCTAAAAGGCGCTAACAGCTTCTGCGGCGCATCATTGGCTGTAAGCCTGTTCACACTAACTGTCTAAACAGGTCACAACAGCCATTTTATGCTGCATCACATCCGTCTCCAGTCATCACAAAGTGTCAGAAGCATGACGCCGGTTTATGGGCACGGGCGTCTGTTGCCATCGCCGGCTGTTTTCCTGTTAGCCCGCTGCCAATGAGCCAGGAACCAGCTGCACCGTTCGGCGCCCGGCGGCCGGTAACTGTGAGTCGTGTCAGCACCACTTCGTTCTCTGGTCCCATGATCCCGCGGTATGGTTAAACGGACCAAACGGAGCAAGGTCAGGCCCGGGAATAGCCACGCCTCACTGCCAGCCAATTATAAGTACAAAAAAACGACGCCGGTGTCATATCAGGTAACGAGTAACGGGATAGATACCGAGTATTCCTATTGTTCGAATCGTGTTTCAGTCTGCTTGTCGCGGCTAACCGGTTACAATCGTAGGCAGCATATCATATTCCAATAAAGACGAGGGCGAAAATACCGTATAAATGTAGGGAGTATATTGCGGTTGCCGGTTGGACTTAAAAACGGTACTGGGCACACAGCATTTACCTTCCATTGTCAACACATAAATTAAAATTTGTAACCATAATCTCAGTGACAAAACAGCGGTAGGACAGGTAGGCAAAACACTATTTTTTTCGGTAGGCATATACGAAAACGGAACATGTACTATAATACAATTTAAAAAGAAAACCTATAAAATCGCAAAAAAATTGACCACTGGCCTGGGGAAAAGAGCGCCAAACCTATGCACCAGAGGATGACTTTCGCTCATGCCTGACCGCCTCGACTAGCAGACCGGAACAATGAATGGAGATAGCCTGTTCGCCCTCTAGTTGTGATGCAACGCGGCGGCCCGGGGCGGCCTGCTCTCTTCCAGGTCCACTCTGGGCTCTCCAGCGTGTTTCACAACCGCAACGAGATAGTTTCCGTAAACTAATGTCCACCAGCTGGCACGTTTCGCCCGGGCTGCATACCGAATGGAGCCGTTTTTCACTAGGGAGCTATGGCGCCATCGAGAAAGGCGAGAGAAGACGAAGTGACACAAGCTTAATCCATAAGCTATGGATGTTTGTGTTGTCACGCCGAAGGCGCAGACAATGCACGCAATTTTTACGATGCAGCTTGGATGCACCCTTACGTTCAGTCATGGGGCATTGCGGTGCAGTCTACCTACCTTTTAGCCACGGAGGGCATGGAGTATTGCGTTGCAGCCTACTTTCCAGTCATTGAGCATTGCGGTACCCTTCACCCTTCAGCCATGGGGCATTGCGGGACAGCCTACCCTTCAGTCACTCGGCATTGCGGTTCAACCCACCTTTCAGTCAATCCGCACTTCAGCACATACCTACGGGTACTGTCCACGCAAAATAATTGGCAATTGTGCCAGGTGCCAGACGAAGGAGCGGTCAGTGAAAGGAAAACGCAAGGCCATACAAGGAAGAAATCAAACGCATGCAATATGCTACAACATGACGTCTTAAAAAATTGCATCAGTCCATTTGTCTGACTTATGCTAAGCAATTGTCATATCACGACTTCCGAAGAATGGACCGTTTATGTTATGAATTCTGATTTAATTGGACGACTGAATTTCACAATGTGCTATATGTCCCGTCGTCCGCATTATCCAATGAAATCAGGTGATATCTGGCCTCCCAATCACTGCCCAGAGGGGCGCCACGTGGTGAGAACTGAGATCAGAAGTCAATGAAGTCCAAACGAAAGAGAAATCAGAGAGGCGAGGTCGAGAAACCGCCATGACCGGGAGAGTCACTCCCGTTTTCATCAGTGCCGCGATGATGCCCCGAGGAGGGGCCAGTTTTTACACACGGTTTCACATCTGGTCCGGCTCCGACCGGGTCGTAATGGAAATGATCAGTTATTCTCGATAGAGGACATAATTGGCCGATCATAATAGAAATCAAGGTTCACCTGCAGACTTTGATGTGGAAAAGGGAAGTGATGGAAGTGTTTAATATGATGTCAAAGTGCCACATATTGTTTTAAAGCGCCTCCTAATCGCAAGAAGCAGAACCCATAAGCTCATGACGCGTAAAAAAATAACTGATGAAGAACACCATATTGAAGTCCCAACTCCCAATCAAAAGAACGTTGTTCAAGTCCAGCTTCTGAGACGAATGCACTGATCGTGGATTGATTGGGGTCGGTCACCATGCAGACCCTGAAGTCGTGATAACCGGTCACGGTGCATCCGATCCCGATCTGATACGTGATGAGGACGGCGGTATCGGCGGCGATATCACACCGACCTGCCGGCGCCCGCCGCCTGATGACGTGTATAATCCGGACATCGGACTCACCGTGCTGTCGTCCGAGCCCGAGGCGATCACGTTGTCGTTGAAGGGGTTCCACTTGATGTCCATCACGGGCCCCGCGTGACCGGTGACCCGACCCACGGACGCGTCCACCCGGCCGGTCTGCGGAGGCAGGGTCAGGTCAGTGGTCAATAAAGAACAACAGATAATAAAGGAAGAGTTGTTCAGTGCCCATTAGTGGATAAGACGTAAATCTCGTCAAAATTGAATTCCTATCATTTCAGACGTAAAGAGAACACATCTTTTCTTGGCTGTTATACCAGGCTCGGATTATCAACAGTATGTCTTTTACCAATTACGAGCAGCGCTGGGAGTTCTCAGTCTAGCCAGTGGCTGGTGTCATGGGTTTCCCCAAATCCAGCCGCTGCGTCCGTTTGAACTCGAAAGCGCCGCCGTCTATTTACTGACCAGTGAGACGCTCTATTTCCTAATGACCTCGGCAGAGCGCGGCGCGGAGCCAGTTCCCAGGGTGACTCGACCGGCCCACATTCAGCGCGCAATCAAGATAAATTGACCAAAAACGACGCCGCAAATAGAGCGCATCCATGCGATGAGGATGGTAACTGGTGCCCGCCGCTGACCGCACGGACACGGTGGACCGAATTGTTCATCGCGAACCGTTCAGTGCAAGGTGGGCCAAAGTAGGCGATAATCTCTGTGTCTTTCGCCAAAATTTAACGCACCGCTTTCAACAAAGATAATAAGACACGGTCACACGTCAGCTGTGATCTTGCTCGGTGTTCGTAATAACATCCCGTAGGCCGTAATCTTGTTCAGCGTCGCGGGCGGTCATTGTTTATCATCTCGCCTGTAGGCTGCGCTAAGCGGTCTTCAGTCACGCTGACCGCACATGGTCTACGAGTCGGCAGCACCGCTGAACTAAACTAACGGGTCCACACGAGACGCATCTTCCCAACTGGCCGCACTAAATAAACTGCTCAGCGGCGAACGGTGACGACGCGTCTGTGGACGGCGTGACACGGTCGGTCGGCCGCCCGCGTGTCTTTGGTGCGCTCCGGCCGCCCGACGGACGGACCATTCAGCGGTCAACCCGAGTCGTCACGGACGTCTCTGGCCCGTTAGTGACGTCACGGTGACGGCGTGACGTCACCGCACACGAGTGGTCCCGTGATGGGCCGAGCTGGTCAGCCGTGATGTCATATGTAGCAGTTGGAGGAAATTAACTTGTCAGTGTGATTGTTCAGTGCATGCTATCTTATCCATCAATCAACCCTCGGGCTGTGGCCTGTTCGTACAATGTATGCTCATATGTACTTCTCGCACAGAACATATCAACATAAAAGCAAGATACTAATAAAATCATAGGTATATATATGTATAGGTAATACTTCTCGTGAAGGAGTGGTCGGTGTCTCTTTTTTTAAGTTACGCACATAAACACTCATTCAAAGCGTTAGTAAGAAGCTTAAGACAAGAAACTGCAGAGACCAGAATGGAGGAACTCCTTCGGCCTTCCATCTACCGAGCTTCCTTGACCCGAGGCCCGCTAAACACTCACCCGTTCGAGCGGTATGACGACGAACGCGCCCCCGCCGGCCACCTCCGTGACAACGGCCACGAACTTGGGGTTGGCCGCGCAGAAGTTGCCATCGTGCGCGTTGCGCGTGATCTTGAGGCTGTCGTAGCAGCGGTCCCGGCGCGCTGGCGAGCCGAAAATGTGGCGGAACTTGGAGCTACGCACGCCCCGGAACGAGAACTGGAAAATGGAGGAGGAGACGGTGGTCATACTAGGGAACAATCGGAGCTACTGGTAGGTACCGAGTAACGTGCTATTCTATCGTCAAATAAAACGATCTTAGTTGAAGAAGATATTAAAAAAGAAACGCAAAATGCTCAATCAAAAGTAACTTTCATGCGTGCAATTACATTATCAACAGGCAACACAATTGTTACAAGATAACGTGCCTGCAGTTAGTAAAAAGGGAAAAATGAAAAACGAAAAAACAGCATACCTGAACCTGGTTCTTCATCTGGGCTGGGTGGATCGGTGGACGCGTCAAAACAGTGTCAGTAAAAATAAAAGGCAAACTTAAAATACCTGTAAAGAAGGAAAAAAAACGTTTAGAGACGAAAGCGATGCAGAGCGTTAAGTGAAATAACGTAAAATAAAGACAGGTGACCAAAACATGCATAAGAAAATAAATAACACACACAAATTGGTTAGTGGAGAAAAAAAAAAGAAATGCACGGAAACGTTGGAGCCTGTCAATGTTTGTAAATGTCATGCCTATGTTATTTGGCAGAGCACCTGTTGACTATATTATACGTCTATTGTCTACCGTCGATAAGCATTTGATACTAATGACCGGTGATACCAGTTTATATAGTCTAACCCTATTAAACAGACAGATCTATATAACCCAAGGAAGTAACCGATCGCCACATCCTTCAGTAGCCAGTGCAGAGCTGAAGCTAGTGAGATTAATCCCGTTTACATATCTACATATATAGTTAACCCAAGGAAGTACCCGATCGTCACATCCTTCAGTAGCCAGCGCAGAGCTGAAGCTAATGAGATTAATCCCGTTCGATAACAAACGGCAGAATCTCAACATAAAGGCTTTTTGCAGACGACTGATATAAAAACATATCCCTAATTGCATCTTCCAATTCTAATATGCTGTTTGTACTGGTCCATTTAATGATTTACTTATCTACCCAAATTAAAGCATATATCGGTCTCAAGTTTTAGACTGCTCCGTCGACCAACAGAGCATGTCTTTGTTCCACATAACAGAGACGCCTTGTTTGTTGTTGAGCCCGACCTGTGCACGATAACCAGCTGTTGAGCTCGGCACCTGAGTAAGGGCTAAAATCGCCAATCACTTGCGGTGAGCAACTGCATCAGGCGCCGGGTGCCCTGCCTCTGGCGCGATTCCATATCAATAAATCCTAACCACACATCAAGCTCCCTTTGCACAACGTCGCACAAAGACTGAGAGCAAAACGTCTGACGCTATTTTCTGCAGGCTGCACCGGCTCTGACGCCGCTCGCTTCCTGTTTGGTTCACCGCCGCTGTGTACTCGAGCTGTCGTGAGGACGGCACCCCGTGAGGAGGAACACGCTGACGACTCCCAGCCGCGCCGTCGACCCGCTCCACCGCCCGGCCGGACGGGCCCTCCGTCACGGGTCCCCTGCAGCTCCCGACCCGGCGTCACGATACCTGTCACGAGTCTGAGGACCGGAAATTTCGGAGATCCACGGCGTTGGCTCGACAGCAGAGCGGCATACGACAGAGGCCTCTAAACCGACCGGCCAGCGCCGCCGCCGACATGCCGACAGACATGCGACAATAAGGCGTAGTAGACGAGCATGGAACCGACGGCTGTCAAACATGCTGCCGTGCCTGCACCCGGTCGCGAAAAGGGTGTGACGATCAGTGCAGCATTTCCGAGGCCGCGCTGTTTTCATAGTACGGTGGTGCAGTGTTGCACCGGACTGGGAACGTGAGACGATTCCATTCATGAGAGGCGGACGGTTAACGTAGGAAAGGCATTTCCCGTAACGAAGTTCTCCATTCACATTCCCAACTGCACAGGGTTCATCCAACGTGCATCCAATGTACATACATATTTATTTAATCACCTGAATTTCGGATCACATAAAACAACAAGTTTAGTGCAATTCAATAACGTTACCTTAAATACAATAAGAAAATTGGAACCAATACCTAAATACGAACAAGCCTACCCCCGCAACAGTAGGTAGAACAGCTAAACGCAACCTATTTTTAAACGCATATTGCTCCCAATCAATCGATGAGTGCTAGGTCACCGCTAAAGGTTACCGTATATTGCTCCGACTGCCATGAGTTCTACGCATTTGTCATGAGTGTCCGGCCGAGATAGAGGAAACGGAAGAAGTCAAAACGACCGACGCGCCGCGCGGAAACGGCACAGATATAGCGACTCTGTCAATCTCCACAGATTTCTGGTACCTACGTCTGTAGCGCCTGGCGCGATGTGTTTGATCGAGCGGCCCGGTGACTGTGACTCGTGTGTGTCACGTCATCACTTCGTCAGCGGCGCGGCAGATGAGTCACGCACACACCGATGTCGTGGGTGGGCTACAGTCTGAGTCAGAACATGAGTCGTAGTCGGGGCCGTGGGTGAGTATATAAGCTGCGGCTCGGCCAACTCTGGAAAATGAGCGTAGTGGACTGGAACGGACCAGCTCGAGGCATAGAAAGGAGATATCAAAATACTATGACACGGAGAAAGGAGAAAACTCAATAAAAACAGCACCATTCCATAAAGCACTATCTCGACGAAACGTCTCACTGACGGAACGATCAGCGACGGAGATAAGCCAAATAAAACGAACGAACAACAGACTGCCAGCCTGCTTGAGCGATCCCGCACATTGACCTGGCGGAACAGCTGAGCCCCGGCACATCCTAGCTGAGCCTGGTAACCAGTAACGCCTGCGTGCACGGGCCGGCCGTCATCTGCAACTGCGCACCACGCCGTACTCTGCCGGCCACGCCACGGCCGCCACCCGGACCGGGGAGGGGTGCAGGGGGAGGGCAGGGGGAGGGGAGGGGCGCCAGTCAGGGTCGCCGGCACCCGGCGCACGCTGGGAGGTATGTAGTGTACCGCGCCGGCTGGCCAGCAGAGCTGTGTAAAATGCCAGCTGGGGGCGGATCGGCGTGCCTCTCCGTGGATTTTTGGTGGCTCCGTGACCCTCCGTCACGCCCGACTGGACACACCGTGCTGCGGCACACCCGTGCCGTCTTTTCCTCCGCCCAAATACGTCTCAGTAACGACCGTGCTGACGAGCCTCGCCCGAGATCCGAGCCCTCCGACGAGCTCTGGATGCCTCCCTTCGTCCGCCGTTCGTTCGGTCTCGGTCGGGCTCCTCTCACCCCTCAGAGGCTCCTTGGCGCGCGTGCCTTCTGCCGAGAGAAACCGTCCGTCCGTCGGTTGGTTTGACGGCCGTCAGTTTCACCATATGCTGTTGCGGGCTGCCAGAATTGAGTAACGCCGACAGGAGAGCCGTGACGGTAGTGGAGACGGCTGCACCACAGGCGATAGGCCCGCTCATGAAGGTCACGTCGTCGGTATGCACGGGGTCGTCGTCTTCTGGCCTCTGGCGATCCGCCCCTCCCCTCTCCACGTCTCATCCCCGAGCCACTCCTCCCCGACGGACCACTCCCCTGCACATACCTCGGCGGCGCCGCCGGCCGGGGAGGCGGTGCGAGGGAACAGGAGACGGTCTGTTTTGCCGGCAGCAGGGCAGACTGCAGGCCGTCCCGGGGAGCGCCGCGCGCGCTGGACGTAAATAGAGCTGTGCTGCCAGGCACCACGGTAGGTAGTAGGTACCAACAGATGCCGACCGGCAGCGGAACCTTCCGCCTATTTGTGGTGCTATTTAGGAGCCCCCGGCTGATAGACATAGACATAGATCGCATCCAGAAATGTGGGCGTGGTTTTCAACTGAATAAGCTTAGCCACCATCGTTTCAGTTACCTACTGGAAGTTTTAAAAAGCATAATAAAGGTATTCAAAGCATCTACGGAATACAAAACAAAACTCGAAGAGTGTATAGTGCCCGTTTATATTTAGACGTACCCTTTGGAAGGCAATTTCCTGTATGGCTCAACTTATTTGGTCGCAGACTCCACATGGAAACAGCACATTAACAGGTGGTGCGGACGAGGCTGAATAGGAGTTGACACGCTTCACCGGCGGTTCAGCCCCACCCGGCTGGTATTGTTCACCAGCCTCAGTGATTGTTGGTGATTGTTCACCAGTTGGTGATCGGTCACCAAACGGCCGCCGGCTCACCACCTCACCAGCCGTGACCCAGCAGCGTCACGACCAGCGTCACACTCGGTGATCGTGAGTCACCAAGTGAAGTTAGTGATTTGTTCGGTACAAGGTCAAAGGGTCAATCAAGGAGAACCACTCAATACGGAGAACTTATATCAGGCGTTGGCATTAGTTTCAAGAGGTGCAGAGATATGACATTGACCTATCAGTCGGCGCATGACGCATGCATCTCTATCAGTCTAACCCTGCACTCTTTAATCACAGCCGACCGTAGTCGACCAGTTACCGCCGCGCCGTTTCAACTTCAGCTTAGCCTGCACTCGCCAGGCTGGTCCGGCACATTGCCCTCAGCCCGAACGTCCCGCCACCCTCAGGCCGCCCGGCACCCGCTCCGAGCGATGTCCGTATCGATTCTGCCGGCGGCGTGTCGTCACCGGCCCCGGTCGGCCGGCCGGCGCCTCGGGCCACACCTATGTCCTCACGTGCCCGGCTGTTGGGAAATTGCCCGTATAGCGGATAAGAGAAGTCGGGACCTCGGACGAGGATGAATTCAGCTGAGTGTTTTGAGGGGATAGGTTCTCACTATCATTCAGAACTTAACTATCGCGAGAAAAGGTCAGATAACGAAGTAGGATCTTTTGAGAGCTGCAATAACCCTTAGCCTTCCTAAACCATTTAAATCCTCCGGACACTTCACTGGAAATCAATGCCCTCAGCTCTGCAGAGCTACCAGAAGAGCCGCGCTGTGAGTGGATGAACCAGCGGGCCTCAGCGGGCGCACTGGGTGTGGCACGTGGATCAGAGGAAATCCCACAGAGCGGCTCTCCGGCCGCCCAGACCACCTCAACTCACCTCGTGAAACGTTCCGCTGCGCTCGAACGGTAACCGCGCCGCGGCCATCCTGTGCTGTCCGTCCGTCCGCCGGTCCCCGGGGCTCTCTGTTCCGCCCACACCGCCTCACCACGACTCGGTCCGGCGCTCAACTGCCGGCCGCGCGCCGCGCGCCGGGACCGACGGACGCCTGAGTCAGACGGACCGACGGACGCCGGCGGGTGGAGGCGCCGCCGACGGAGCGTCGACGCTCGACGGGGAACGGCGTCGGCAGAGCGGCACCCGCCGGGCTTCCGGACTGGGGAGTGGGGAGGGGAGGGAGGCAGGGGTGCACGCAGGCGGACTGCGCAGCGGCTAGTAACGTAACGCGTAACGCGAAACGAGACCGCGAGAGTCTGGTCGGGCCACCGAAATTGGTGGTGGTTGGAAACGGGTCAGTGGCTGGCTTTATTGCTCGTTAACGTCGCCTCAAATTACTCAGATCGCCGGTCAACCGTTCCTGAATCTGCAAAGGCTACGAGATCAACTTTCCCGAGCAGCTGGTGTGCCTTTCGATGCATCCGTCTCGCCTCCACCTTATGTCGGAGAGAGGCCGCATTGCTGACCTCCTAACCAATTGAGTGTGCAAAGTGCACGGACCGTGCACACTGCAGAAGAGAGCTCCGGATATACGTTAGTAGTAGTATCATGGACGGCGCGGTCGCGTCTCACGACAATGATGCACTACAGATGTTCCGAGGGTAATTAGCATATATTTCAGCAGCTCGGTGGCAGTCCGTGGGTCAACACACCGTATCGGTGACCAGATGTCGAGGAACATATCGAGGCCAGTCCGCACCAACGAGCTTGAAGAAAGAAGGGTAACTAACCGTTTCTTCACACATCTTGCTATTGGCCACAGCACTACGAAATTGCTGATGTGGACTCTCGGAATGAGGACGCAGCGAATCGCGACAAATTCCAATCTTCCTACCGCGTGCCTTCGTTCTGACCACACCCGGTCAGTGTGTGATTGTGTGCGGTGTCCTATAAATTTCCACCAACAATAGCCCGTCCCCGTTTGTCGTGCGGCAGGTGGCGATAATGAGACAACGTCGCCGGTTGGTCTCCAACACTGGACCCACTGCCGGGAGCTGCGGGCGGCCGGCCGGCGGGCAGCGGGTGCCAGCTGCCGCTACACACAGCCCCATTACGGGCACACAGACCGGTGTAAACTGGGCTTCAGAAGACGGACGGTCGGACGCCAGCGCCGGTTGGCACGTGCTGGAGGGCAGAGAGCGGGACATCGCCCACACTCGCGTGCATGGAAACAGGATGATTCGGTGAGACGGCCGACCATTAACCCAGCGAGCAGGCAGAAAGCGGGGAGATTTGCACGGTACACCATTCAAAACGAATCTCGAGTCATGAGCAGATGTGCAAGTGGATGATTTTCTCTTGCACTCGAGGTGTGAATTGCGCCACAGGGTGCTTTCACGGCGACGGCAACTTCCATTCGTCGCCTCTCCTAAAGAAATCGTGCACGCTGCCTCAACATGGGCCACGAAGAATATTCAAACGAACACGGCACAAGTCTCTGCAGTCTGCGCCTTCTATGCAGCGTCTCAGGATGACACGCTGACGCTGCGCCGTGGCAGGTCAGGAAATGACGCGTCCGGCCTCAAGGTGCGGCGCGTTCACCGGACAGCTCTCGTGTCCGCGTGTGGCACAATACCATCCCCTCAGCGGTGTCCAGGTGACACCGGCCACCCCGTCCGTCCATATGGCACCTCTCCCCGCGGCACGTGACGCGGCGCCCCTCCCCACCACCAGCGGTGTCCCCACTGAACCGACCGGCCGCCGGGCAGCGGTCCCCGGACACAGCAGTCCATTCAGCGGCCGTGTCACGCCCCGGGACCGCATCAGCTCGTCTATCTGCACCGCCGCTCGTCACGGCGGGTGGGACGGGGCGTGGCCGGCGCGACAGCACGCCAGCACGCCGCCCACATGTGCGGAAAGAGACCGGCAGATATACACACAGAGAGAGATCAGCGACCGATCCGCGACATGGAGCTCCTGCGTCCCGACGGCAGGAGTGTGCAGATGGCGAGCTACAGACAAACGGGGCAGCGGGAGGTGCCTTAGCGGGAGCGTTGTTTCAGACCCGCATCTGTGAATGAAAAGCTGTGCAGCTCGGGGCAAAACAGCAATCCCTCCACAAAACGATAGCCAAAATTAGAGCATGCACTCAGTATGTGCGACACGGATGATAAGCTTGACGGCCTACAAAGTTTGCCAACCGGATGCGAAGATGTGAGGCGGGGAAGACGTCTCTTCCGGTCCCCACTGCGTGCAGACGCCAGCCAAGACCCATCCGGCGACCGGCAGTGGCACTACCCTGGTTTCCGATCCCCGTCCGGTGAGTTACTGCACTGGTCACGTTCAGGGGCTAATCGAAGATACGTGGCAGCCGCACGGATGTCCGTATAGCCCGGTCTGTGGCCATGAGGACTCCAGTCAGGCCACGACTCGCTGAAGTCCGGCTCCTGCGGTGTCTAGACTCCGCTCTACCAGCGGTGTTGGGGACTCGTTGCAGCCAGGCTGTGTCGGTCGGCGGCAGCCGTCGGAGCTCGCTGGGGCCCGTTCAGCGGTGCTCACCGGCGACAGATGGTGCCGATCTGGGTTAGCGGCGCGGCGGCTGTGGTGACCGCGTCTGTATGCGGAGGTGCACAAGCCGGCCCCACACAACGGTCGGTGGAACGGACCCGACAGATGGGGACGAGCAGGGCTGGCTCCACGGGCAGGTATGCGGACAGGCTTATGAGGCTCATCAAGCGGGATGGCGAATTGGGATTACGCAGCTGGCACCCAGGAACATATTAAAAAATACGTTAAAAATGCTTCGGGAGCTTATTGACATGACCTACGTGATGGAATACACACACCGAGAGAACGGCAACTATATAACAAAGGAAATAAAAACTTCAGCCGTCATCAAACGGAATATAGTCGCGGGTTCACTCACGTTGGTGCAATTTACAATTCAACCACAAACCCGGCAAAACCATAGTGATGATCGCTCACGCAGTTTGTCACAGGAAGCTAGCGTTTCCGCTCTTATCGCCGTGCTGGGTCAGCGCAACTCGGGTGGCCAACAGCGCTAGATCACTTGAAGCGTGTTTCGATGGACCTGAGGTGCCTGAGCGAACCGTTTTAGCGGTGTTCAGTGCTGGCAGTCGAAGCTCGCATCAACTAAAACCTTTGAAGAGAGATTCGTACCGGAGCAAGGCAACGCGAATTGCGGCCTGCGGGAATAATATGAAATATTGAGCCGGTTCCAAAAACAACCGATGAGATTGTCAGTACCGAAATACAAAGCCCAGCGCCGTCTTCGTGCCCTGACGGGATGGCTCACTAAAAAGAGACGGGGAGGCGACTACGCCTCGCCCTATTTCAGCGGCCTTTGAGGCGTGACGGTCACCGAAGTCAACAAAGCAGCACGGGGTTTACCTCAATGACACCGATAACTGCCGGTTGAGCATCACCACAACGCATCACAAACAAGGAGTGAAAACTTACATATATGGCGACCCAGAGCTCAGTGCTCACATTACCCAACAACAATCCTAACCGGGTTTCAACGTGTTGCCTCAATGGAAACCATCCAGTAGTTCAGCTCGAACCACCGACGAGCACAACATCCACCACAGAGCCCCTCAGATATAGCTTGGAGACATCGACCATGAAGCAGCCAGCGCGATAAATCACATCGCAGGAAAGCACTTCTTAAACACTTGATTAACTGAAGCGGCGACTAGGACGCGTTTCGTTAGTGAGAGGGAGCCCGAAGAGTGAAGAGTGCTGAATGATGGAACCCTAACGGCTTCTCCCATGACGACTGATAGCGCGGTTCCATGACGACTGACGAGGTAGCTGGACTATAACGGCCGAAGGCAGACCGGCAGTCCAGATCTCTACGACGGCAGAACCTATTGTTGTGAATTGTGATCGGAGTTTGGTAATGTCTTATGACCAATGCCTCACGTAGCACGGTAACAGAGATGCTTAGTGCTCACAACTGTGCTAGTTTAAGAAGTTTTAATAAAAGTGAGAGCGAGAAGCATGGGTCATATTTATGCTGCTTTCCCATACATTTTTGTTTCCCACGGCATCTAAAGATATTTTTACAGGCAGCACAGGTCATCCCAAACAACCCACTATCCCCGCCCGAGTTCCCCAATTTACCCGCACTTGTAACTGTGTGTGTTTTATTTCTGCGAGCTGTCCCCGGCGGCGGTGGCCAGCAGAGCCGTCCTCTGGGCCGGCCGGCCATCCATGAACACCATTCCCACGGCCATACTTCACGGGGGCTGTCCGACGTGTCGACGGGACGGGACGGAAACGGACGGTGGCTGAACGCTACAGGGCAGCGGCAGCGGCTCCGGCCGCTATAGACGGCGGACGGTGGACGTTGGGCGGAGGGCGGTGGTAGCTCCGCGTGGCCTGCTCCAGCTCAGTGTAGTGACCGTTTGCGTTCAAGAAGGAAACGAAGACTGAGAAATCACTGCCAAATGATAACGTCAAACTCTTCAGCTCAGTTCTCAGTCTGTCGCATTCTTGGAAGTCGTCTGGGAAAAGCCGGAATCTCTCCGCACAAAAATAGAGAGAAATATATAAAACCAGGAGAGCCGCCTGAGGAATAGCGTCCACGGCACTCAACGTCTCCACCGCGGCCATCGATCCCCAGCCATCTCCGAGTTCAGCCATCGAACTCCGCTCGTCTAATCTAAAGGGTCGGGCGGTCTGGCGCAATCTCCACCCACGGCTGCGGCCGGCGGGCTGCAGTGTCATGACCGGTCGGCACGAGAGCCCGCGATTGTGGGCTATCACGTGACAAACGGCTATCTCGGCGAGATACCCGGAACTGCCACTGCCCGGTTACTGGATAATGCAAGGGAACTTCCCATCCGCCAAAATTAGTTCACATATCGGGCAGGGAATAACGGTTTATCCTAAGCTCGCATGGATTCAAGCACGTTTTCATTAAGCAAACGTGATAAATTAACAAGGTCAGGGCCCAGGGCCCCAGGGCCTTGTCCTAAATACCTAACGCAATCGTAAACGACGAACCTAAAGTTAACATATCTTTTATGTGTTTAATCATGCACTCACAAGAATCATTTCAGCCTGAGACGTCGAATTAAAAACGAAGCGTCGTCGGATTTCTTAGTAGTCTGCTCCCAGAAGACTTCCTAGTTCCTCTTC